GTAAACTGTTACTATTAGCAGAACATTTGGGGTGGCTTAACATGGTTAGGCAGTTTTTTCCATAATGCAGCTCTTCCTTGATCCTTCTCTTCTCCTCTGCTTATCTTTTTAGTTGTTTGGCATATAGCAGCTGTGGAAGTTTACACCTCCGGAGTAGTAGAGGCTGTTAATGGGACAGATGTTCGGCTAAAATGTACTTTCTCCAGTTTCTCCCCTGTGGGTAATGCCCTAACAGTAACCTGGAACTTCCGTCCCCGAGATGGGGGGCCTGAGGAGTTTGTAAGTAGATTATACTAATTTTCCAGGGAGTTCTGGGTGGGATAATTTATATCAAGTTCCTTTTGTTCTTTCTGAAATTACTCTTGGAGACAAGAAGAGAGAGTGAAAATTCCCAGGAGGACAGACTGAGCAGAATAGAAGACAGGTAAATGAGAATTTAATAGCTTCTTACAGAACAGTACATTGGCAGAAAAGATGAAGCACTTACTGAAGCAGTAGCCTTCTCTTTTAACTCTTACCATCTAGCCAGGTAGGACCAGGTATACAATGAAAATACTCCTCTGCAATTCACTCTCTCTAGGTGTTTTACTTTCATGAGCAGCCCTATCCACCAACTGCTGGACATTTTAAGAATCGGGTGGCCTGGGATGGAAATGTAAACCGGAACGATGTCTCCATCATCATCTGGAAACTGCAGTTTAATGATAATGGAACGTTCACCTGCCAGGTGAAGAATCCACCGGATGTTGATGGAGTGATAGGGGAGATTCGACTCAGTGTTGTACAGACAGGTAGGTCACCCAGAGGAAAGTGTACTGAGGGAAAGGAAAACTTCTGTTTTTTATTTTTATTTATTTATTTAGGCAATTGGGATTAAGTGACTTGCCCAGGGTCACTAGTAAGTGTCAAGTGTTTGGTCTGAGATCAAATTTGAACTCAGGTCCTCCTGACTTCAGGGCCAGTGCTCTATCCACTGTGCCACCTAGCTGCCCTGAGAGGAAAGCTTTTGGAAGAGAGAGGATCCATCTTCCATCATGGCTGCTAGAAAGATTGAGGGGTGGGGTGGGCTTATTCTATAGAAGGGGTGATAGAGAGATAAAATGAAGAATTCTGAGGCAAAAATAAATTGGAAAAGAAATAGAAAATACATAAGGCAAAAGGATTCAGGGAAATTGTTATAAAAATGTTGAGGTTAAGGGAAGTATGGGGAGAGAAAAGAACTATAAAATTTACACTTTTGTGGGGGGGACAGACCAGAAGATAGTCATGAATAATAAAGGTGAATAGAGAGCAATGAGGTCTGTGAAGAGAGATGCTATTTCTTCCCTCCATACCAAGTCTAGTTTAAAATTGTCCCCTTTAAAAGCAATCAGATAGGAAACCAAGGTAAGATGTGGGAAGAGAGAACTGAGGGAAAGGAGGGTTATATATTTATCTGATGAATTTAGTAACATCCTTGCAACCCTGGATAGTAATCTAAGCAATGCCTCTTTTCTATTGTTCCTGAAAGTTTAATCCAAGGGAGTAGGAACATTTTGCATGTAAAACGGGGGAGATTTATTATGTTGAAAATATAGCCCCCCATATATTGGGGAGTTTCCATAGTCTGTAGGGTCTTAATACGTCCTTTTTCCTTTGTGCAGTACGTTTCTCTGAGATCTATTTCCTGGCTCTGGCCATTGGCTCTGCTTGTGCACTGATGGTCTTAATAGTAATTGTGGTGGTCCTCTTCCAACACTCCCGGAAAAGACGGTGGACCAACAGAGGTCATGTGGCAGTTGAAACAGAATCGTAAGACTGGGTACTTGTGGGAAAACTTCTAATACCATCTCATAGTGACTCTCATAGTATTGTTTGTGCATAAGTGTACCTGACTTTAGTCAAGGAAACTAAGTGAAAATTCATTAAAAAAACCACAATACCTTTATTTAAACAGAACAAAGTTTTTGCTTAATTTGGAAGCTGAAATGACCAGAGTTGGGGGCATTCCTCAAATTAAAACTGTAAGTGTTCATAAAATAGAAAATAAATGACTATTCAGTCTAACTGGAAAATAAAATGTAGTAATAAGAGTTTTGACCCAGTATAGGCATGTCTCTAAACCTGAGAGAAGAAAGCAGTTTGGTAACATTTTCTTTCTCTCAAGAATGGAGAATAATGAGAATGACAGCATGAATCAAAAGCAAAATGTCTCCCATTGTACTATGTTGTACTGTGTCACTACTCCCTGCATGTTGTTAATATGTTTTTGGTTTATGTTAGTAGGCAAAAGCAATATATTTTTCACTTTCGTTTTTGCTTCATATCTCAGGTAATTGAGAGTTCCCAGAACAAGAAGCTCTAAGATATGCTGGGATTAATGGAAAATTTCCTTCAGCTATTCCAGTACTGACCCACTTGAATCAACTCTGCTCATTCACCTCCGTCCTGATGTGCTGCAATAGTCCATTATGAGCCAGTGCAGGACCCTTCTTGAGCAAACACTGCCAGAATATTCTTAGTTTCCCTTTATCAAGGTTTTATTCAAATTCAAAATTCAATGCCATCAAGCAGGATGAAAATGAATTTGTCCTTTAAAACACCATAACATTTCCTTCTGAAGATAAGAAGCAATTCTTGATATTAAATCTGCTATGTAGGTTCTCTGTCTTCTGATGTCTTCAATCAAAAGGTCAGATAAGTCTCACAGCTGTTTCTGTGTTTTGCCAGAAGTAATTTGAAACATCAGATTGTTGACTTGAAGAGAAGAATGATTTGCTGAGCAATTGCTGACTGCTCAGTTTAATATGATTTTGAAACTCTAATATGCAAACCGAACAAAGGCTCATCTTGAGGCTAGAATCATCAAGCAAGTTACCATTGGGATTCGGAAGATTGATCATTACACTTCTGGGAGTTTAAGGATAGAAAATTGTAAAAAGGACCCAAAGTGGTGATGAAAACTTTATATAGTATTATATTCAGCTCTGAAAAAATAGGATCATTGCTGGAGTAAAAGAATATTTTTTCATCTGATATTTTTTCTTAGGGTAGGGTAAAAGGGAATTCTAAATCTAGGTTTTATAGTGGTTGATCCAGAGTGATGGTGAAAGGCATTTCTTTTATGAACTAGTACATCACTGGTTTAAAACAAACTTTGTAAGTGGGATTCAAGAAGAAAAGTATCTTCTTAAAAAATGTCCAATATTCTGTTTTCTCTCAACTCTAAGCCACAACAACATTTAAGGTGTAGACATCACATGGAAGTTTAAGCACAAGAGTGAATTATGCAGTTTGACTGTTGGCATGTCTTCTTTAGTAAGCAGATTGGTGAATATATTTAACAAATGAAATTGGTCCAAGGAGACTACATGTCCTGGGACTTCCAATTGTGCTACTTCAAACTGTACTTAAAGACAGCTGAGCCTTGATTTTGACAGTTAATCAACAATTTGTCTTCTTCACAGCATAGTCCTCCAAGACTGAAGTTAATTTCCTGCTTTTATACCACATATTTGGATTTAGTATCTATTTTAAGACACATTTTATTTTAAAAAGTAAATATATGAAAACATCATTATTAGATAATTTTCTTCAGATAGATGTCTGGATAGTGTTTTATAAATGAAATTAAGTTTTTAAAAAATAAGTTATCTTTAGTCTTCATTCCAGCAAAACTTGTAGCTTCCTTGTGCCTTGGCTAAAACACAGAAGGAGAAAATTTTACTTACTATTTGGACATCTATCCTCATGGACCCTTTTGTATTGTAATTTATTTTTTATTAAGCTATAAAAACTCATGTGAATAAATATTACCTTTAGTAATAAAGCATTTTTTCATTATTATTTGCATACACAAAAATAAAAAAGTTTAAAAAGCATTTAATTTAGAAATCAGATGGGCGGTGGGAGCAAATGAAGCTTTTAATTGAAATGAAAAAGTAAAAATTGCCTTAGGATAAATCATTCATTGGAGGTGGATATTACTGGATGAATAAACAAATAACCTATGATTTTAGCTTCTTCTTGACTGTTTAGAGGTTAAGGAAGTAATATATTGTCTGTTTTGTATCAATACTTTTAAATTAACCAAAAAGCATAGGCAGTTAGTTACTAACTCCTAGGCCTCTAGTGAAGCAGGGTAAGTTGAAAAACAGGAAGCTTCTTAAAGCTTAAGGGATATACTGGAAGGAGTATTGGGCTAATAGGAAATCCTTGTTTTAGTACCGGTTCTGCCACTTACTAGCCACCTGACTGTGGAAGTCAATTCTCTGACCCTCACTTTCTTCAGATGTAAAATGTGGGAGTTGGCCTAGATTATATCAGAAGCCCCGGCTCTAACGTTCTAGTCTCTAGATGCATATTTTTTGTTTCATTTTATTTTCAACAAATACTCTCATGATCTAGCATTGAACAGAAGGACCGGGGTCCATAAAAGTCCGCAGTGCTTGACATAAGGCACATTTTTTTCCCCTTGAAAAGGCTGTCATCACTCTTCTTTTAACTACCTGAAGCCTAGTGATAAACTTCGTGCCTGGTAATTGCAGAGGAATGATAAATCCCACTTTCTTTCCTTTTTTAACATGCTACTGCCCTGCTAGCATGCCCTTTTGTTGCCCATTTGGGTAGGCGCATATGCATAGGAGGTGCACACTTTCCTCGGAGGCAAGGCGTGGCGCTGGTCCTAAGGCCAGGGCAGCAGCTCTTTCAGGTCCCTTCCAACTCTGACAGCCACAATGGGAGTCTACCCAACAGGCAGCTCAGGTTCTCTGACTAACATGCACCTGAGGCCGTCCTGCGGCCCAATAAAGGCCCTTTCCACGCCAGGCTATGACCAATGCCGCGGAACTCCCTTTCCACAGGCAATCTAGGCTGCTTCTTTCTCAGGCAGATGAGGAAAGAGACTTCTTACTCCTAGCAGGGGAAGAGGCGCCTCAGAATGCTCAGGTAAGCCAGGCCCGAGAGCCAAGACGCGTTCCCATGACAACCGCCAGCGGCCATCTTGGTCTCCCTCGGCGTCCGCCCTTCCGATCTGTCATTTCCGGTATCACCTGTGTGGGTCGAGGGAGTCATAAACAAGGTTTTCGCAGGTGTCGGCAGCGGTGCCGGGATGCAGCCAAGCGGCTCGGCTGGAGGCCCTTGCCGCGCTTTCTCCCGGCTGCTGGGTCTGCTGTTCTTCCAGGGTGAGTGCGCGGACTGCTCGCGCCCTACTTCCGGGTGTTTTTTTTTTTAGTGTGTGTGTATGGGGGGAGGAAGATGGTCGCTCTTCCGCTTCCGGGTGGGGGGTCCCTGAAGAGGCAGGTCCTCTCAGGGCCCTGGGTGGTTGGGAAGCTTAAAGGGGAGCACTCCTTCGGACTGTGCGCCGAACTTGGAAATGGGGAGGAAATCCGGCTGCTGTAGGGGCGAAGGCCCCCCGCCTTCCAGTGGTGATCGCCGTTGGATGGCTGCGGGCTCCGAGAAGCATCGACGGGTCCTCAGAGTGTGTCCCCCGGGGTCCCTTCAGGGGCTTCATGGTGTCAAAACTCTTAATACTCGTTCTAAGGCGCTACTTATGTTAGCAATATAAAAACTCTCCGAGGTCGCCAGTATTTGAAGTGTCGAGGAATCCTAAGACCGAAAAAGATTGAGGACCGCAGATTTCGTCTCATGTTACAGATGTAATCTAGGTAACTCTCTAGGCAACGCAGGTATTACAGAGTGGCAGAAGCAGCATTCGAGCCCAGGCGCCTCCCTTCTAAGGGAGCACTTTTCTGGGGGGACCGTGTTAAGGTTCAGAGCCCCAAGAATTTGGAGGAAGGAAATCCTTACTGTTTCTGTTTTTCTTGAGTCTGTGAAATAGTAAGAATGTCCTCATGAAGATGACTGTAACAGATATTAGGGACTTCAGCTTTGAAATAGTGCAGCAAAATATTATGTATATATATGTATAAATATGTAAATATGATATATGTATGTACAAAACATCGTATAGAAATAAAGTTTCCTTAACATTGTGTGACACATTAGCCTTGATATTTAACAGATTGAAAATATGTGTCCTGTGTTCCAAATTCCTTCCCTTCCCTCCCTCTCTCCTTCCTTCCTTCCCTTCTTCCTTCCCTCCCTTCCTCCCTCCCTTCCTTCCTCCCTTCCTTCCTTCCTTCCTTCCTTCCCCGCACCCGGGAAAGGAATGCTACTGACGCTATTACAAAACAAAATTATTTGACTTTAATTTTTATTTGTTGAAGAATGTTAATATGCTTTGGAGTAAAATATTGCTATTGTCCGTTCCAAATTCTTCAGTTTAGAGAAGTTTAAGTTAAGTTTAAAAGTATACAGAGTTTGTTTTAACCCAGTGAATGAATGAAATACCCAACTGTCATTCCTCCCTTCTTCCTCCCTGCCCCTCCCACTTCTGTTGCATTTAATCCCTGGAAGGATAGATGTCAATTCTCTGACAATCCAAATTGTAGTAAATACTTTTTGTTAAAATAATAATCATAGGTGAATACTGTAAGCTAAACAGGGAAATTTTTTTCTCAAGAAATTTCTGAAAGGAGGCCCTTAATCCAAAGATCATGGTTTCCTAGGTCTCAGTTTAAGGTGGAGGAGTTTTTAATCCTATGACTAATATGCATTTTTCCTGTAAACTCCCTGACCCCTCCCAGGCAGTTACCTGTGTCATCATGAGTGTCCAGTTTTTCAACTAAACTCTTTTGCAATACTGTATTTGGAGTAGCCTACCCTAATTCTGAATTCACAAGGAAATGCTGTCTCTATTTTCATGCAGAAAGTGTTCAACGAATTTAAACTTAGCAAATGTTCATTAGTTGTCTAGTATACGTGAGTTTCTTAGTGTTTGGTTGTGTTCAAATGTGGATATGAAGAAAGGAAAAGATGGTTGCCAAATAAATTATAGTTAATTTTAAACTGATTTCTAAGATCACTTCAAGTACTTCAAGGTTTCTTTAACTTCAACTGATATATCCAGATTTACAAATCATATGCTGAATTGTGGATCACCAAAAGGACCTGTGGAAAGACACTATGGGTTTAAGTAGGCTAGTTGTGTGTCAGAAGAGGTACTAATATCAGAATGAATGAAAAGGCTGGAAAAAAGGAGAACCTGGTTATTTAGTGACAGTAGACAACCTGTGGGCTTCATTGGTACTTCAAACTTCCCCTGGTTCCCTCTCCTTCAGTCTTTTTCTTGCCTCATATTTTACTGAAAAAGTTGAGGCCATTCATTGAGAGATCCCTCTCCCTTCTCATCTCATGTTCCCAGATGCCTCCTTACCCCTACGTCTTACGCTCCTGTTTCACATGATAAAGTGGCTCCCCCCTTTTTTTCTTACCTTTTTGGTGAGTCAGTTGGGGTTAAGTGACATGCCCAGGGTCACACAGCTAGTAAATGTCATGTGTCTGAAGTTAGTTAGATTTGAAGTCAGGTCCTCCTGACTCCAAGGCTGGAATTCTATCCACTGTACCACCTAGCTGTTCCTGAGGTGGCCCTTACCAAGGCAAACCACCCTGAATGTACGACTGATCCCCTTCTTTCCTATCTACTCCAGCAGGTTGTTTTGTCTGTCATCCCTACTCTCTTGCTTATCTTGAATCTTCTCTGACTTTTCTACCATGCCCTAGAAAGCTCATTGGGAAAACCACATCATCCTGCAAGATTCCTGGTAATCCACATCATTACCACCTTCTGTCTCTTGGATTGGAGGGTGGAACCATGAACTCCTCAAACCTCCATTTAAGTAGGGAGCCCAGATCAGATGGTCTTAGTTCTTACCTGGCTGCACTGTGGGACTTCTCTGACTTTTCCATCATGCCCCTGTATTGAGTACCTTTCCTGGTGACAGCTCTTTCCTCCTGCTTTTCACCTTCCTTTTATGTGTTGTCTTCCTCTATTAGATTGTAAGCTCTTTGAGGACAGATAGTGTTTTTTTTTTCTTTCCCCGTATTTGTATCCCCATCAGGACAGTGCCTGGCACATAGTGGGTGCTTAAATTGACTGATTATCCCTCCTTATAGATTGCTGCTTTCCTACTGTCTACAAACATGCCTATGTCTCCTTCATCCTCAAAAAACCCTCACTTGATTCTTCTATCCGACTGTCATCGCCAGTCTTTCCTCCTCGTGTGGCTAAAGTTGAGGCTATTTGTAGCAGGTGGCTCTACTTTCTTTCCTCTTGCTGTCTTCTTAGCTCTCTGCAGTCTGGCTTCTGATATCATTTTTCCATGAAAATTTCTCTCTTCATAGTTCTCAGTGATTTCTTAATGGTCAAATCCAGTAGCCTTTTCCTCAATTCTCATCTTTTTAAATTTCTCTGTAGCCTTTTATACCGTTGATACTCTCTACTAACTTTCCTGGTTTCCCTCAAGTCTCAGCTAAAATCCCACCTCCAACAACAAGCCTTTCCCAATTCCTCCTTAATCCCAGGGCCTTCCCTTTGTTGATTATTTCCTATTTATCCTGTACATAGCTTTGTTTGTTTTTAGGTTGTCTCCATTAAAACTGAGCTTATCCGGAACAGGGACTATCTTTTACCTTTCTTTGTGTGACCTACACTTTGCATAGTGCCTGGAATGTAGCAGGCACTTGAGAAATCTTTATTGACTGATGACTAGAAATCTAGGTTATTGGACTGCCGAAGAGGATTTATGAAAATACAAGGGATGGGGAGGGTGTGAATGAGTGGATGGGTTGTTAGGGAGAGCTGATATTAGACCAATGTGAGCCATGCAAGCAACAGATCCATTTCAAACAAAAGTTGATAATTGTCTTCTAGAACTTTTTTCTTTTTGTTTTAAATGTCCTGAGTCGTAGATTTGGTACAGTACTGCTCTTTATTTGCTTTTCCTTTTCACCCTTTGAAAACAGGATTGGTTCAATTATTAGCCCATTTGACTTTTCCCTAACTTAAGAGTATTGTTCTATTATCAATTTTTTAAAAAATAAAATTTTATTTAAAATATTTTTCTTTTTCTTTTGTTTTTATATCATTTATATTTCCCACTGTGTTCTTTCCTTTTCTCCATGCCAGAGAAGCATCCCTTATAACAAAGTAAGAAAAACAAAGGAAAAAAAAAGCTTGGAACACTAAACAACACGTCAAATAAATGTGATGTTATATGCAGTAGAACATGTCCATAGTCTCTGCTTCCAAAATAGATTGAAGGAAGATGGCTTCTCATATCTATTGTTTGGGGTCAAGTTTGCTCATCATTCCAGAGCATTCAATTTAAATTGTTTTGTTGTTCTTCTTTCTATTTACATCGTTGGAGTAGTTTTGTATATTTTCTTGGTTCTGCTTACTTTTCATTAGTCTTTTGGTGCTTTGTATTTGTCTGTTATTTCTTCCAGCACAGTAATTCTGCTGTGTTCATGCACCACAATTTGTTAATTCATCTTCCCGATGAATAGGTATCTACTTAGTTTCCAGTTCTTTACTATCACAAAAAGTGCTACTATAAATATTTTGGTATATATAGGACCTTTCTTTTTGTCATTGTCCTCCTTTGGGTGTAGAAGCCTAGCAGTGGAATCACTGGGAACCGTTTAGTATTTGTCTTTGCATAATTCCAAATTGCTTTCCTGAAGGATTATATCCATTCATAACCCCACCAAGAATGCATTAGGGTGCCTGTCTTTCAACTACTCCTTCACCAGTGACTGTTCTTATCTTTGCCAAAATGCTGGGTGTGAGGTGAAACCTCAGGGCTGTTTTAAAAATCTGTTGTCTTTTATTTTTTTAAAAAATAATATTTTTTTCCAAGTTACATGTAAGGACAATTTTTAACATTCATTAAAAACATTTTTTTGAATTCCAAATTTTCTCTCTCCCTCCCTCATGGAGAGAACTCCATGACACAGTACTCAATTTGATATAGTTTATAAATATGCAATCATGTAAAACATTTCCATATTAGTCATATTGTGAAAGAAGACAGACCAAAAGAAAAAAATAAAGTGAAAAGTAGCATGCTTCTATCTTTATTCAGACTTCATTAGTTCTTTCTCTGGATGTGGATGACATTTTCCATCACGAGTCCTTTGGAACTGTCTTGGATCATTGTATTGCTGAGAATCGCTAAGTCAGTGGCAGTTGTTCATTGTACAGTAATGCTGTTACTGTGTGCAGTGGTTCTGCTCACTTTACTCTGGATCGGTTTGTTTAAATCATTCCAGGTTTTCCTGAAATCATCGTGCTCATCATTTCTTATAGCACAATGGTATTCCATTACAATTGTATGCCACGTCTGTTGTCTTTTAAGGTGACAGGGGCAGAATAAATTGTCTATAGTTGGTGTCTTCACGTTCTTTCCTTTCACTCTCTTTTAAACCTTCCCGTTTCCAACTGAAACTGCCTTCTCCAAAGTTATGGGTGACCTCTTAAGTGCCATATAGAATGGCCTTTTTCAATCTTCATCTTTTTTGACCACTCTGTAGCATTTGATCCTGTTGATATCATTCTCCTCCTTGATATTCTTTCCTCTCAGGGTTTTCATGTCAGTGCTCTTTTTTAGTACTCCTGCATTATGACCACTCTTTTTTTTTTTAAAGGCAGTTGGGGTTAAGTGATTGCCCAGGGTCCCACAGCTAGTAAGTGTCAAGTGTTTGGTCTGAGGCCTGGAATTGAACTCAGGTCCTCCTGACTTCAGGGCCGGTGCTCTATCCACCTAGCTGCCCCATGACCAGTCTTTCTTGATCTCATTTGCTAGATCTTCGTTCTAGTTATGCCCACTAACTGTGGGTATACTCCCGAGGCTCCACCCTGGGCTGTCTTCTCCCTTTAGGCTTTCGCTTGGTAATCTTATCTGCTCCCATGTGTTCAATTATCATCTCCATATAGATGACTCCTAGATGTCCTATATTATGAACTGCCTCTTGGACATCTCAAATTAGATGTCCTGTAGTCATCTCAAACTCAATATGACCAGAATAGAACTCATTATCTTCCTGCCCACTTCTGTTTTGAACTTTGCAATTACTGTTGAGGGCACCACCCCCTTCTAGTCACCAATCAACCTTGGCTTATCCTTGGCTCCTCACTCTCCCTCACCTCATATAGTTCAATGAGTTGGCAGATCTTATCATTTCTGTTTCCGTAACATATCTCCTGTATGTCTCCTCCTCACTCATCTATACACCCCCCTATTTCAGAACCTTCTCATTCCTCAGCTGATTTATTGCCACATCCTTCTGCTTAATCTCCCTGCCTCAAATCTGTCTTTACCCCAATCAATTCTCTCCTAGCTGCCAAAGTGATTTTCCTAAAATCCAAGTCTGATTATGCTTGCTGCCCTCTCCCCCTAACAAAGGAAACTTCAATGGCTCCCTATTACCTCTAAGATAAAATATAAACTTCTCTGCCATCTAAAACTTTTCCTAGCTTTCTAGAGTTGTTACATAATACCCCCTTCCAGGTAATCTACTGTGCAGTTTTGCTGGCTACTTGCTGTTCTGTTCCATCTCCCAGCTCTGTGTTTTTGCACTGGCTGTCTCTGGAATGCTTACCCTCCTTGTTTTGCTTCTTCTAATCCCTAGCTTCCTCTAATATTCAACTCAAATACCATCTTCTTTAGGAGGTCTTTCCTGGCCACACTAGCTTCTGGTCTTATCCCTTCTAAGGGTTACCACACACGCACCCCTCTTTAGTCCAGGGACTGTTTTTTGCTTTTTCTTTATCTCCCCAGTGCTTAGCATAGTGTCTGCCACATAGTGTTTAATAAATGTTTATTAATTAATTGATTATAGGAAGATTAAACTAGCATTATTCTGCAGGATACATTGGAGATTCCCATGCCAATTATTTGCTCCCCCCCCATAGTACTATTATAAAGGAAACAATGTTGTACTTGGCATTAGTCATATTTGTATTAATCAAGAGCCTAGACTTGATAATCTTTCTTTAGAAATGAATGTGAACAAATGGGCTTGTCTAGAGAAAAGCATACAAATGTGTAAATTTGTGTTTAATGAAATTTAAATGAAAAGAGTTAGGTATGTGTGACTACTGTGTTCACAGTATGTGAGGAGTTAACAGAGGGAGAGTGGGAGGAAGGAACGGGAAGAAAAGCATACAGAGACTGATATGGGGAATAGCTCAGGGCAGGCCATGAGAATCAGAAAGAATAAAGAACAGTTTATCTGCTTTTATAAATAGATGGCTCTTTAGTGGAAGATGGATTACTAGCCACATCTGAAGTCAGAAGGCAGTGCCAATTTTTTTTTGAGAGAGGAGAAGTAAAATGTTTTACTATTAGGTAAGCTTGGAAGAAGTGAGCCTGTAGAGATGGTTTACAAAGATATAAAGAATCCATTTCATTTTAGAATTCCATTTGAAATTATTGTTTTTTTCATTACTGTTTTTATGACTGACTTATTAGCTCTTTGATAAAGAACAGCCAGAATAAATTCTGTGAGGTTTTTTTTTTTTAGGCAGTTGGGGTTAAGTGACTTGCCCAGGGTCACACAGCTAGTAAGTGTCAAGTGTTTGGTCTGAGTTCTGATTTGAACTCAGGTCCTCCTGACTTCAGGGCCGGTGCTCTCTCCACTGCGCCATCTAGCTGCCCCAGTGTGTGAGATTTTTCAAAGATTTTTCTGTTCTGAGTTTGTAGATTCTTTCTCAAGGCAGAAAATCCTTTCTTCATTAAAAGCTGGCACCATTCTAATTGTCTCCACTCTCCATTTTCACCATTCTAATACTCTCTTTTGAGTCAAGACTATGTGGATACATTTGTTTCTGCTCAATTTAGCTACAAGTCTATACTCTAGTCAGTAACCAGGCTTTGCATGTTTAGTTCAGCATATGGTTCATTGTTTAAACTTGTAGTGGTGATAAAGTATGCTTGTGGGTTACAATATCACCCCACACCCCATTCCATGAGAAGGCAAATCTGTTGTTCCATGTTTTTATCAAGAGCCTTAATAATCAGAATGTAGATTTTTGAGCTGGAAGGTGGCTTGGAAGTCTTCTAGTCAAACCCTTTCATTTTACAGATAAGGAGACTGAGGCACAGAGAGGTCAAGTAACTGGCTCAGGCTTACAAGGTCCTAAGTGACTGAACAAGGTTACATTTGTTTTCCTCTTTATCAAATTCGTAATAGGAGCCTTTACTTATATCTGTCTCCTCTTCCCAGATAAATATATTTATAAATATTTTGGCTTCCTTTATTTAGGTGTTTACACAGCCCTTTCATTGGAGATTAAAGCAGATGCCCATGTTCGAGGTTATATTGGAGAAAGTATCAAGCTGAAGTGCACCTTCAGGTCTTCTTCTCCTGTCTCTGACAAGCTCACAATAGACTGGACTTACCGATCTCCTACCAGCAGTCGCACAGAGACAGTAAGTTGCTTTGGGACGTTCCAGCTGAGTTTAAACAGGGCAGACCAACTTTGAACTTTCTCCTTTTGGAATGAGCATATCAGTAACAATATAGCCACCTAATTTGTTTCAGGGGATAACCTACCTTTTGATATGCCAATCCCTGTATTTTCCTTCTTGAACTTTAGGAGTCTTGTAAATCAGTTATTAGAGACTCATAGGAAATGTGATTCTCTTTTCTTCCTTTTTATTTCATGATTTTATAACTTCATTTTCAGATTTAATATACTTAAAGGGTGCTATCTGGGCTGTTGGATATAAACATAAACTAATTTAAAGAGAATTCATTCTGTAGCTCCTGCTAACGATTTTCCATTTTCTATCTGTGAAGGCTATACCCTTTCTGTTACCTTTAGTTGTCTCATGTGGGCCGATCTGTTTGTGTGACTCTGTTAAATGTGCTCTCTGCTCCTTGCCCTGTGGGCTGATCTTGGCACTTTCTCCCGGTGTGTACAGCATCTACACTGATTTACACATTCTCCTTTGAAGAGAATGGTGGCAGCATATGTATAGCTCAATTTGGTAGGTGCTGTCAGTGGCAGATGGTCTTATAATTTGGGCTGTTTAATGAACTCTAGTTATATGTATGTAATTTACATATGTTTGAATCCCATTGTAAATGTCCAATTGAAGATAGTAAATGCCATAAAACTTTCTCTTTGTGCTTTCAGAAATATCCTTAGCCTATGAGGGGCACGAATATTAATTTTGCAGCTGTATGTAAAACTGTTCTTTTTAAAAATGTCCCAAATTTGCTCATCCTCCTTTCTTTACTGTCAGGGCTTTTGCTCTTTCTTTAGTTTAAAGCCATAAGCTTTAAAGAGTTTATGCCTGCCTGCTGCATGGGGTAGAGGTAGGAAGGCAAATAGAGGTTCAGTGAAGGAAGTTAGGTAATATTTGTCATCTCTTTTTTTTCATACTTCTTGTTTGTCATTTCTTGCTTGCCATTTGTCATTTCTGATAGCACAGTAGTATTCCATCACAATCATATACCACAGCTTTTTCAGCCATTCCCCAATTGATGGGCTAACTCTCAATTTCCAGTTCTTTTCTACAACTAAAATTGCTGCTATAAATATCTTTGTACATACAGTTTCTATTCCTTTTTCTTTGATCTCTTTGGGGAAGAGACCTAGTAGTGGCATTGCTAGAGCAAAGGGTATTCACGGTTTTATAGCCTTTTGGGCATAGTTCCAAATTGTTCTCCAGACTGGTTGGATTACTTCACAACTCCATGAAAAGTCCATTAGTGTCCCAATTTTTCTGCATTCCCTCCAACATTTGTCATTTTTCTTTTCTGTCATTTTAACCATTCTGATTGGTATAAGGTCGGTACTTCAGAGTTGTTTTAATTTGCACTTCTCTAATCGGTAGTCATTTAGAGCATTTTTTTCATATTACTGTAGATAGCTTTGATTTTTTTTATCTGAAACTGCCTGTTCATATCCTTTGACCATTTATCAATTGGGGAGTGACATATTCTTATACATTTGATTGAGTTCTCTAAATATTTGAGAAATGAGGCCTTTATCAGAGAAATTTACTATAAAATCTCCCCCCTCCCACCCCAGTTTCCTGCTTTCCTTCTAATCTTGGTGGCATTGGTTTTGTCTGTGCAAAATCTTTTAAATTTAATATAACTAGAATTGTCCATTTTACATCCTGTAATGCTCTGTATCACTTGTTTGGTCATATATTCTGACCCTTTGGGTAACAGGGGTCAGAAAATCTTAACCAAAACAGACCTCACGTAGTGCTGTTTTTAAAAGAGAGTTTAGTAAAGCTGGAATTAATGGGCTTTTACAATTTAAAAAAGAAGAGGTGGCTATATCACATGAGTAATTGAAGCAGTAATGTTTTGTTAGTCAGGGTTAAGTCAGACTGATTATTGAGCAAAGTATGAAGTTCTATCTGTCATCTCTCTCAGTGGTTATGTGAACTTCAAAGTCTCAGTATTCTGGTGAAACATAGAGTAGACTGTGCTGAAAATCTCATGGAGGTTGGCCACAGCAAGAGTCCCTATTTTCCATGGGTACTGTTTGACTGACCATTCTCACCAGAAAGTTGCTTTCTTCTTGGTAATTTGGTAGTTGAAGACAGCCGGGATTTTTGAGTGGGAAGGCAACTTGCCATCAGATAAACAAATGAAGAAAAAATATGTACCTTGTACAAGAGTGCAGTCGTTGTATGAATAATATTTGCCCAGCCCAACATAAGTAGGTGCATCGTAGTGATATTCCCGTTTGTTAAGTATGAAGTAATAAGGGTTTAGTTATGGAAGCATTTATTAAACATCAGCGGTGTGCCTGACTGGGCATTTACATAAATTCCCAAGTCAGATAACTAGGAAGGAGTGTTACCTGTTATTATACCTACTAACTAATTTAGTTAATTCTGACAGGAGAGAAATGGAAACTTTAAAAACTGTCTCTTTTAGGATTTCAGGGAAAGTTGTTGAGGGAATAGTGATTTAGAATTTTTAGATGCTTTACCTGATTCTTTTATTGACTTGGTGTGGTCAGTTTTCTTGGTTCTCTTTACTCATCTCTAATAAGATAATGTTAACATTTAAAGCATTTAGAAATCCCCATATGAAGGGTGCTGGGGGACGGGGGGGCAGGGGGGATGGGGAAGCTTGCAACTATGCTGTATTTTTTCTTTTAACTTGCTTAGCAATTTCTAAATTGACTCCCCCACCCCCATCTTTTTCCTTTCTTAGATTTTTCATTATCAATCTTTCCAGTACCCAACTGTAGCAGGCACATTCCGAGACCGAATTTTTTGGGTTGGGGATGTGTACCGAGGAGATGCATCCATTAGCATAAGCAACCCAACCACGAGAGACAATGGAACATTCAGCTGCACTGTGAAGAATCCTCCAGATGTCCACCACAATGTTCCCATGACGGAGCTTGTAGTCACTGAAAGGGGTAAGAGGGTTGCAAAAAGCTTCCCTTCCCACTTCCACTGAAGTTATACCTGCTTTTCTAGATCAGGGTGGTTAGAAGCCTTTTTTGTAAGTACATTGAGTAGTTGGGTAATTTTGGTTCAAACTCATTTTTAATTTATAAGCTGAATAACCTTTTCAGTTCTTTTAACAGCTTTATTTGTTTATTTATTTATTTTACTGGACCTATGATTTCATTGGGCAGCTAGGTGGTGCTGTGGGTAGAGTACTGGGCCTGGAGTCAGGAAGACTTCCTGGATTCAAATTTGCCCTCATATGCTTATTAGCTGTGTGACTCTGGGCAAGTCACTTAATCCTATTTACCTCAGTTTCCTCATCTATAAAATGAGCTGGAGAAGGATATGGCAGACTGCTCCAGTATCTTTGCCAGGAAAACCCAAAAGGGGTCACAAAGAGTAAGACACAACTGAAAAATGACTGAACAACAACACCAAAATAATTTCATCTGTGTAGGGAGCTCCCTGGAGTAACTCCTATTAATGCAGATCTATAGCTACTCTGCAAGTTATAGTCTTAGAGATTGGCCTGCAGCCCTTTCTAAGAGGTTAAGTGATTTGCTCAGGTTCACACAGCTGCTATGTGTACTGCAGAGTCAGAACTGGCATTCAGGTCTTTCTGACATTGAGGCCAACTCTCTATTCACTACCTTCCTACCTCACCCTCCTTTTACATTGAAATGAATGTAAGACTTGTGGAACAGACTGGCTGTTTCCTCCATGGCAGGATGTTCTTTGTGGTGTGGTAGAAAGGCCAGCATCAACCTCCTAGAGTTATGAGAAAAGTACCTGTAAACTTTAAAGCAATATATGAATATGTAAATGCCAGAAAGATCTGTGTTGGAATAAAGTATCGCAACCAGCTATGACTTAATAAGTCCTAGGGATTTGACTGAGGTATTAGTTGAGATTAGCTTAGGCCAATTGCCTTGCCCAGAATCACACAGCTAACAAATGTCAGAGGCAAGATTTGGAGCTATGTCTTTGTGACTCCAAGCTGAGCACTTTATCTTTACTAGGCTGCCTCTTCTAGGTAATTATATAAATGTCAGATCTTACAGGTGATAGTCAGGCTTCCCCCTTGTGTTCTTCTCAGGCTAAATAGTGTTCTTTGCTTATGAAGGGAGGTGGAGTCTGGGGATGCCTCCTGTGGGGGTGGAAGTCATTTCTTTCTTAGTGGCCAGCTAGGATTTATTTAATATGGGGGGAAAAAAAAGAGTTCTGTATTGTGAGCCTGAATTGTTGAAGAATTAGAGTTAGTGTTTTTGTGAGGAAGGTGCTTTGTAAACCTCAAAGTGCTCTCTAAGTGAGAGTGTTGATATGACTGTCCTTCCCACTTGTTTTCATATCCTATCGTTTGATCTGATGGCTGTTGTTGATTGGCTTCTCTAGAGCTAGAGCAAATTTGAACCAGGTACAGAGTTTCAGTGTATGTCCCCTTAACATTCTATGAGTGAATAAAAAGTATTGAGTTGTGCCTGCTGTGTGCCAGACATTTTGCTAGGTGCTGGGGATAGAAGTACAGAAGAGATAATCCCTGCCCTCGTGAACCTTACATTTTAAAAGGGAGAGAAAACTCACAGGGGAGAGGTGTCATGATCAGGAGGCTGAGGCCAGCCAGAAATAATGAGCTGTGCCTCAGAGTTGGAACTGGATCATCTAGTTCAGGGGTGGGGAACCTGTGGCCTCAAGGCCACATGTGGCCTTCCAGGTCCTTGGGTGCGGCCTTTGACTGAGTCCAAGTTTTACAGAATGAATCCTTGTATTAAGGGGATTTGTTCTGTGAAGTATGGATTCAGTCAAAGAGCTGCACTTGATGTGGCCTCTAGGTCGAAGGTTCCCCACCCCAGTCTGGTTCAACTGCTTTATTTTACTAACTGAAACTGAAAACAAGCGAGCTAATATAAATAGCTGACCCTTACTGTAAAATGTATAACTTACTTTGTGCATATATTATCTCATTTGCTCCTTACAGCAACCCTGTGACATAGGTATTAGAGTATTGATGTTTTGCAGAGGCCCAGAGAGAGTTAATTAACCAAAATTTATGTTACTTTAATGTGTCTATTTTATTAAGAGATACATAAAAGTACATGGTTTTCCTCCTGTTAAAATGAATTATTTAGCATTTTTCATTATCTTCCAAATTAGGTAAAGCCAATGGGAATAGCATTCAGATAGCTTTTCTTAAAGACTCAATGGCTTGTGGTCCTTTCCCCTTGTTCCCCCTCCCTTTGCCCAGGTTTTTCTATTCAGCTGTCTTCTGCTGCACTGCTGTCCATCCTGGTCTTCATTCCTTCAGCTGTGGTGGTTACCCTGCTCTTGGTGAGAATGGGGAGGAAGTCTGCTGGGCTAAAGAAGAAGAGCAAGTCTGGCTACAAAAAATCATCCATTGAAGTTTCAGATGAGTAAGTTTGGCTGGAGCTGAGGCTCATTTCCTTTTATTAGTCCTGCTTGGTGGGGAATATTCAATAACCCAAGCCTTAAGTATCTCTTTCTTTCTCCCAGACCTGGTTCACTTATGCTTGTGAAGCTTCATTTTAAAGTTTCTTTTTATTCTGGTGCTGAGGATAGCTAAGAAAAGGCCTTTCATGGGGATGGTTACAAATAAAATTTATGTATCCTGGTTTGGTTTTATTTTGTCTTTTAGGAAACAGAGTTTGGGGTGGTTAGGGTATTTCCTGAAGTAAAAGTCTGACCATGTCACCCTCCCCTCCCTACTCATTAAACTTCAATTGCTCCCTGTCACCTCCAGGATCAAATATAAAATGCTCTGTTTGGCATTCAAAGCCCTTGCTCCGTTTTCCTTTTCCAGTCTTCTTACACCTTACTCCCCAATACATACTCTTCATTCCACTGTCAGTGACTGTCTGACTGTTCCACAAACAAGACACTCCATCTCTTGGTTCTGGGCATTCTCTCTGGCTGTTCCTCATGCTGGGAATGCTCTCCCCTCCTCCACTCTGCTTGCTGACTTCTCTACTAGCTTCCTTTAAGTCTCAACTAAAACCCCATCTTTTGCAGAAAGCCTTCCCAATCCCTCTTAATTCTAGTGCCTGCTTTTTGTTAGTTATTTCCTATTTATCCTGTACATAGCTTGCTTTGCATTTATCTGTTTGCATGCTGTCTTCCTCACTAGATTGTAAGTTCCTTGAGGGAAGGGACTGCCTTTTGCCTCTTTTTATATTCTCAGCGTTTGGCACACAGGAGGTGCTTAATTAATGTTGATCAATTGATTGATTTGAGTTGGGAACTCTTTTACAAAGTGTGGATAGAAATAGTTTTTTCCTCAGTTCCCTGTTTTGGTAACCAAATTGCACAAAAGACAAGCTATTGACTATAAAGTCTAAATTAGAAAGCCCAAACTACTTAAAAAACAGATTAAAATGATTAATTTAATAACAGGAAAATCACCTGGTTTAACTTTTTTCCTCTTGGAACTCTTGATATGTTTGATGTGTAGTTACAGAAAGAGAGTGAGAAGAGAAAATATTTTTTTTTCCAAGATCTCCCTTTTTCTTCCACTTACTTCCCTTGAGCACCCTTCTGCCCCCTTTCATAAGTTGTAAGGTCTTATCAATTCACCTCCTCACCTCTAATGCTCTAACCATTCTAGTTGAGACCCTTATCACCTCCCCGCTAGACTGTTATTGTGTCAGCCTCCTCATGAGGCACCCTCAGTTGCTTGGGAGTCCAGCCAAACTGGCATCCTAGCATCCTAGCATGGCGTTCCACTGCTCTCCTTTGTGCCTTTGCCCAGATTTTCTCCTCTACTAGGAATAATTTGTCCCCAATTCCAATCCTTGTAACTCTTATCTCTCTTTGAGGGTTAGCTCAGCCATCATCTCCTTCTAGAAGCCTCGTCTGATGTCCCTTGTTGTTACTGCTTCCCCATCATCTTGAGTCCCTTTACTGCAATGAAAGCTTCCTAAGGGCAAGAATCGGCTCACTTTTTTATTTGTATCTCAAATGTCTAGCAGTGTTGAGTACCCAATAGATGCTTAATAAAAGAGTTGGTTGATTGAACTTATAAACACTACTAAGGATGTAAGAATGGAATGGAGTAAGCATTTATTAATAGGCACTATACTAATATTATTTTCAAATAATATTACAAATATTATCTCATTTGCTCTTCTCAACAACCCTTTGAGGTAGGTGCTATTATCCTTATTTTAGTGTTAAGAGAACTGAGGCAGATAGAGATTAAGTGACTTGGGGGGACACATTGCAAAGAAGTAACTGAGTCTAGGTATGTCCTCAGGTCTTCCTGACTCTAGGCCTAGCACTTTATCCACTGCCCCACCTAGTTGGCATAAAAATGTTTTAATAAGTTTATTAACCAGTAGTGCCCAGCACTGTGAACACTTATTACAAATATTAACTCATTTGATTTTCACAACAACTCTTGTGATATTGGTGCTATTATAATTCTCATTTTTCAGTTGAGGAAACTGAGGCAAACAGAGGTTAAATGTCTTTCCCAAGGTCATACAGCTAATAAGGGTTTGAGGCTCAATTTGAACTCAGCTTTTCCTTACTCCAGGCGTAGTGCTTTATCCATTGTGTCACCTAGCTGCCTCAGAAGAGCTGATTTAGATGTCAGCCAAGTCGGTGAATACATATTTATGACATGCCTACTAGGTGCCAGGCATTGTGCTAAACACTGAGAGTACAAAGAAAGACAAACAATAGTCTCTGCTCTCAAGGAACTCACAGTCTAACAGGAGAGACAACATGCAAACAGCTGTGTACAAACAAGATAATACAAGTTAAATTGGAGATAATTGGTAGAGGGAAGGCACTAGCATAGGATCAGGATCCTGTAAGAGACTTAAAGGAAGCTGGGGAGTCCAGGAAACACAGATGAGGAAGGAGTGAATTACAGACATGGGAAATAGCCAGTCACATTGACCAGAGAATAGACATGCAGTGTCACATTTGAGGAAGAGCCAGGAGGCCAGTTCCACTGGATCCAAGATTATGTAGTGGTGTGGGGTAGGATGGGGGCGGGGGTGGAGTAAGGTATAAGAAGACTATAATTGAAGGCGAGATCAGGTTATAAAGGACTTTGAACACCAGAGGATTTTTTTATTTGATCCTGGAGGTGATAGGGAGTCACTGTAATTGATTGACTAGGGAGGGGTGATACGGTCAGATCATCGCTTTAGGCAGGTCACTTTGACAGTTGAATTGAGAATAGACTGAAATGGGGAGAGGCACAAAACTAACTAAAAGGCTGCTGCAATAGTCTAGGCTTCAGTGTTAAAGGCCTGTATCAGGGTGGTAGCAGTGTCAGAAGTGATGATGAGAGATGCTACAAAGGTAAAATAAGCAAGGCTTGATAACAGATTCGATTTTGGGGGGTAGGAGAGAGTGAAGAGTTGAGGCTGACATCTCAATTGTGAAGCTAGGTGACTGGGAGGATAGTGGTCTTCTCAACAGTGATAGGAAAGTTTGGAAAAGGGGAGGGCATGGGGATAAAGATAATGAGTTCAGTGCTGGGCTAAGACATCTACTTAGAGATGTCCACTATGCAGCTGGAAACTCTAGACTAGAGGTTAGGATTGAGGCTAGGGCTGGATAAGTAGATTTGAGAATTAGCATAGAGATGGGAACTGATGAGATCATCAGCAAATAGTATGTAAAGAGAAGAAAAGAAGGCCTAGGCCAGAACCTTGGAGGACACCTATGTTAGTGGCTGTGATCTATATGAGGATTCAGCAGAGAACTCAGAGAAGGTGAGAGGAGAACCAGGAGAGAGCAGTGTCACCAAAAAGTGGAGAGAGAAGAGAGTATTGAGGAGGAGGTGATCGACAGAGAGGTCAGGAAGGATGAAGACTGAGAAAAGACCATTAGATCTGGTGAAGAAGTCCTGCTTTTGGTCAGCAAGAGTGTAATTAGAATGAATTTATATCATCATCACAATCAGATAGCATTTAATATATTCTTACACAAGTGTTGTGCTTTACTGAACAATGTAGAAGACCCAAGTAAACAGATATGGCCCTTTACTTGAGCCACATAGGTGGCACAGTAGAGAGAGTGCTGGACACAGAGTCAGGAAGACCTGAGTTCAAATCTGGATCCAGGAACTTACTAGCTATGAGACCCTGGGCAAGTTAACTTTCCTCTTTCTGTCTTAGTTTCCTCATCTTTAAAATGGGGATAATAATAGTACCTACCTCCCAGGGTTGTTGTGAAGATAAAATGAAAATGTTTTCAAAGCACTTTGCAGACCTTAAAGTGCTACATTAGTGCTGTATATATTTGGGGCAGCTGGGTGGTTCAATGAATAGACTGCCAAGCCTGGAGTCAGGAAGACCTGAGTTCAAATCCAGCCCTGATACTTATTAGCTGTGTGACCCTGGCAAGTCACTTAACCCTGTTTGCCTCATCTGTAAAATGAGCTGGAGAAGGAAATGGTAAACCACTCCAGTAACTTTGCCAAGAAAACCCCAAATAGAGTGACAAAGAGTCAGACACAGCTGAACAGTAACAACATTAGTTATTGTTGTTGTTATTTTGGGGAGTTTACAAAGGTTGGTAATGGGCATTTTGACTAATTCTGCCCACTTCTTTTTTTTACAGCACTGACCAGGGAGAAGATGAAGGCTGCATGAGAAGACTTTGTACCCGTTGTGCTGAATGCCTGGTAAGCAATTTCTTCCACTTACCTGTCTGTTTAACTTTTCCGCTCTTTGAGGAAACATTGTGCTGTGGTATTAGCTGAGATAATGCAGGTGGGGTCTTTGAAAGAATTGTGGCCTCAGGAAACCCCTATCAACCCTACCCACCTCAACTTCTACCCCTGTTCTGTGGACATAAAATGGCCCTGGTAGTGCTTCTGTGGAGCATTCCCTGCAAATGAGTAACTCACATTTAGATAACTCTTTATTCTTTCTGTGGCTTTCTATCCAGCATTTTATTTAATCCCCTTAACAGCCTGATGAAGTGGATGGTCCAAGCGGTATTCCTATTTCACAGATGAGGGGACTTCTCATTAAGGTTAAGTGATTTGTTCTGGATCAAAAGGCTGGTTAGGTAGATGATTTAGGCCCTGGAATCCAAACAGTGTGACTCTGAATGCAATTTACTATCTATATCACCATGCCTTTTCTCTCTTCTGCCTTACTAGCCAGAGGAAATGTGGAGAAGAGAACATCCCCCCCTCCTCCCCTGGCTCATCTGTGTCATGCACACCTTTGTTTAAACCCCATCCTCTATAGCTGCTTAGTCTCTTCACTTGCCGTACTTAGGGTGATTGACATTGGCGGAGGGTGTATAGTTCTCTCCTGGCTTTGGTGCTGCATTTGGTTTTTCTTTTTCTCCCACAATTACTTGATATCTTGTGATCATTTAGGTAGCTTGGATAGAGTTTTTAAAATGTTTCAATGGCTATTTATTTATTTTTGCATTACTATTACTACCCAACTAAGAGAAAGAAAATTAAAACAAAACAAAACAAAAACAAACAAACAAACAAAAAACCCATGGTCAAGCAAAATGAACAAATCCACAGTCTGTGTCCAGAAAGATCTGTCTCTGCACCTTGTGTAGCATGGATAGACTTTCACCAGGTGAGCTCCCCATTAGGGGTCAGAAAGCTGGTGCTTTGTCTTTTTAACTCAAAAGGGAAAGGCTGCTGTCCCTATCATCCTAGCGCTTGTGACTCATGATGGGTTTGCTTGGTTGTTCCAGTATTTTTTATGCAGTGATAGCTGGCTCTCTGACATGGAAATGTTAGGAAACCAAATTTACACTCTAAGTAAGGCATGCACCTAGTAGTATAGGGTTTGAAGTTTTTCCTTCTCAAATGTATGACCCAGATCAGCACTTAGCAGGATTTGGCTGTGTTGCCCCACCTCTATACCCCCTGTAGTGCTCTATGCTTTAAAATTCTCAATTAATCTTCTCTTCCTTTTCCCTGTCAAACTAAGCATAATATCTGAAATGAATGTCAACCCACATGTACAAAAATATTTATAGCAACTCTTTCTGTGATGGTGAAGAATTGAAAATCGAGGGGATGCCTATCAGTTGGGGAATGGCTGAACAAGTTGTGGTATATGAATGTAATGGAATAATGTTGTGCTATTAGAAATGATGAGCAAGCAGACTTCAGAAAAACCTGGAAAGACTTGTATGGACTGATGCTAAGTGAAGTGAGCAGAACCAGGAGAACGTTGTACACACTAGAGCCACATTGTGTGATAACTAATAATGATAGACTTAACCTTCTCAGCAATGCAAGGATCTAAGACATCTCCAAAAGTCTCATGATGGAAAATGCTATCCATATCCAGAGAAAGAACTATGGAGTTTGGATGCAGATCGAAGCATACTATTTGTTCTTTTTTTTACTTCTGTTTTGTTTTGTTTCTTCTTTCTTGTGGTTCCTCCTATTGGTTCTAATTCTTCTTTACAACATGACTAATATGAAAATATGTTTAATAGGAATGTATATGTAGAGCCTCTATCGGATTGCATGCTGTCTTGGGGAGGGAGGAGGAGAAATTTTAAAACTCAAAAGCTTATGGAAGTGATTGTTGAAAACTAAAAATAAATAAATTAATTGAAAAATAAATTAAAAAATAAAATGAAGGTCAGAGATGTTGCAGTTGAAGGGTTGTGATGCTGACACATTTGAATGAAATATTTTGATAATTTGAAATGAATATGTGTCTACAATCTTGATTATGTGCAGTATAAATTTGAGTTTGAATATACAGGATGTCCCAAAAGCCTTACTAAGTTTTAAGCTTTTAAAGCCTAAAAATACATTTTAGATCAGCCAGAAGACATTAAGAAATATGTGTGCCATATGAAGAAAGGTTTCAGTATATTTCAGTAGCTCTTTGTAGCTCAGTTTTAGTATTCAGAAAAACCCTTTCCATTTTTTGCGCCTTCTGTTGTTTCTGATTTGTTGCCTCTGGGGTTTTACAAGTTCTGGCATTCCCCAGTATATGTGACATTAAAGCCCACTGTTCTCTTCCTCTTGCCAGAATTTTTTATGCTGTTGAAACATAAAACTTCACTAAGACTTTTGGGACAACCTTTGTAAATACGAAAGCATCATTCTAGGCTGGAAAGCCTTTGAGGCAGAAATGGAGATGGCAGGTGTCTGTTGCTTAGAGATTTGGCTCTCATTTACCTAATGGTAATTTCCATGCATGGAAGTTGTGCAAGATAGTGACTAAGCCATAATCTGGGAAAAACTTTTGAGTTTTTTGACTTAATTTGTTGAAGTACTGTCTCTGCTACATGGTTTTTGGCTTCTGTGTTATATCTCAGTACATACCATATCCATGGTTTTTCTCCATTTAGGATTCGGACTTTGAAGAAGCATATTGATGACAGTTTAAAGACTGCCTGGCTTCAGAACTCAAGAATCATCTGTTTGATCTGCACAGAAGTCCTGTTCCTTTATTTGTTGAAGTTTTGTGTGTGATTGTAGTTGACTTGGACTGCCATGATGGAAAGCCATGTTGGAGGAACCTGGAGTTCAGTAGTCAAGACTGTCCAGTAATTTTTTATTTATTGAAGAAATATTCTTTTTGTATTTATAAAATGTTTTAAGACCTTAATAGAAGAGATGCATCAAAAGTAGAGCTCCTACTTACTCTAGTTTAGTAAGTTATGGTTGGACTGAGGAATTATTTTCCTGAATAGGAAGATATATATTGTCTGTGTTGCACTCTACACGTTGTATGTTTTCTTCCAGTTCTTTGAGGGAGAATCATAAATATTTGTTATTTACTGACTACAGAGGATTGTTTCTTTCAAAAGAATGTCATCTGTAGCATCCTTTTATTCCTAACTGTCTGGGGAAGATATTTGTGCTAGTGTTTTGCTTGGTCAGTTTTTGGAGCTACTAATTGAACAGTAATCACTGTTTATTTCTCTCCTTTTACTGGAGCTGTAAAATTCCATTGTGTATTATAATCTCAAGATGATTTGGGTTGTATAAGCTGTAATCATGTAAGATTAGGCAAATTCTGCTTTGTTTCAATACTATATTTTTTCATGTTAAATGTTATCAATTTATGTTCAAGGAAAAGAGTAGTGGGGCAATGGAATTAATTTCTTCTGGCTTGCTAGACCAGAATTGGGCTGGGGTTGTTATGGGTAATATCTTATTGTCACATTTCCTTGTACCCTCAGCTACTTTTTGTTTTGCCTCTTGACTTTTAGGGCCAGAGGCTGAAAAAACTCTTTGGAAGTTTTCCAGTATGAAATTGTAGGTTATTATAGCTTCTATTTTAAATGGTAACATCTAACCTCTCAGAGTTGATGATTTTCAAAATGCACAAAATATGCACACTATTAATTGTTTCAGATGTCATTGCAGAAGATCTTTTGAATCAGGAATGAGTACAGACTAGAGCTGCACAGAACCCAGACTTTCCCATTCTGTCTTCTTCCTTCTTTGTGCTCTATGTCCTGTCTTAATTCTCTAGTGCATGACAGTTAAGCCAAATGAAATGCACATATTTTATGCGCTGTAGGTTTTACATCTTTTTTCCATATATAGAAAAATACATTTTAGATCTGTCATAAGACTTTAAGAAATATGTGTGCCATAAGTTGGTAGTATATTTCAGCAATCCAGAGGTAGGTTGTTTTCTCTTTTTTTGATTCAAAAAAGCGCTTTCCATTTTTGTCCTTTCTTCTTTAATTGATTTGGTGCTTCTGGTGTTTTCCAAGTTCTGGCACTCTACAAAATATGTGACATTAAAACCCACTGTTCTCTTCCTCTTCTTAGATTTTTAGCCCAGATCAATTTTTGTTGTTATTGGTTTTTTTTTTTTAAGGCAGAGAATGAGATCAGAAACATTGTGGTCTGCCCCATTGGTTTATCCAACCCTCCTTGGTTAAATTGTTTTACAAATAAGAAAATCTGGTGACTTAACTGAGGTTGCCACTTACCAATAAGGTCACACAAACCTTCCAGCTAAACTAGCTGTTTGGACTAGCAGTTTGCTTTTTTTCTATAACTGTGCCTGTTCCTGTAGCTTCACAGTTTCTTGGACTGTGTGATAATTGATTTCAGGGTCGATCTAATGAAGCTCTTTCTCACTCTTAAATACTGAACTTTTTAGGTGTTCCTAGCTGTAATGTAAGCATTTTGTGAGACCTCAGAATCTGAGAAGGTGAATAATGCTTCAGGATGACCCAGTTAAAGCCATATCCTTTTAAATGAAAGCCCATTTTGATTGGGTCATCTTATACCTTCCTTGCAGGGCTGAGGATGAATTCAGTGAGGTATGTTTGTGATTCTTGGATGAACAGTCCTGTATCAATGCTCAATAGTATTATTTTACAATCTTAATCACGATTTGGACCAAGGCCTCTCTTTTTAGAATGACTGAACAGTAGAGTCCTTCATGATAAGGGGTAAGTTGAGCATTGAGGCTTTTTCTGTCTGGTTGTGGTATTATCACAGGGTATAAAAAGCTGCTATCAATTTCTTCATTACTCCTGTGAAGTCTGTCCTATAGCCTCTCTCTTCTAAGAACTGTTGAGAAGTATATACTTGCCTTCTTTAGGGGCGAATAAAAGATACCATTATCCTGTGCTGTTTTTATACCTCCTAAAGTTTTATTTTTAGATTCCTATCAGAGCAGTCAGAGAGAAACTTTTTCTAGAATGGGAATTTACCACTGGCAAGCTTTATGCAGGGGTGGTCTTTCTAAAATAGCCTCTGCTTCATGGTATATTACCATCTTTGTTTTCTGAATTTCTTTTACCAAGAGTCATTGAGTTTGTGACTAAATATGTGCTTTAGAGGAAAGGGCCTGAGGTTTCCTGTATATCTGATTGCATCAGGTAACTTGGGAAACAGCTCTTTCTTTACCAGCACTGGGAATAGGCACTGGTGCTTCAAGAGAGTGAGTTACTTGTGTCTTATTTTCTGTTTTTTTAAACAACAACAACAAAAAAACCCCAACCCAAAATCAAAAGCCACTACCTGAATATTGGTGTGGAAACCCTTGTCCTGAATGTCCTCATATGTGATCTAATCATTTGCAAATGGTGAGCTTCAAGAGGACCAGAGGGATTTAGAGATGGAAGGGACCTTGGAGGTTGTGTAGTCCAGCCCCCTCCTTTACAGGTGAAAAAACTGAGGCACAGAGAGGTTAAGTTATTTACTCTGGGTCACACAGCTTGTAAGTGTCCGAACCAAAGGCTTCCTGACTCCAAGTATAGCACTCAGTGGGCTAACATTTTCCCTTCACATTGACATTAAAGAAGAGTCATTTCATTGCTTGTCTTTTCCTTGTAAAGGGGAAGTTCTGTTCATAAAGCCCTGCCGTTCTTGCTGTGTGTCCCTGTGGTTTTGCATGTGGAAATGTCACTTATGGCCCTCTGTCTGTAAACACTGTAGATATTTGCAATGATGTGGTCAATAAACTCCTTTTCACTTTTCCAGGCCGTGCTTTGTTTGCTCTGTGTATTTAGGATCAGAATTATTCATGAAAGAGTTGGGGGCTAGTGGTTTTCAAAGTGAAGGTCTTCTGTTAATTATACCCCAGCAAGGACTTAATGCCTGGAGTTTGAGAAGGGCAAAGGTTTCATCTGCAGCATGCCTTACATCAAGAGAGTTTGCAAAAAGGCCAGTCTAAACTTGCCTGGCAGAGGTAGATGAAGCAGACTATCTTACTTTGAGTTGATGCATCACTTTGAGGAAAAAAGAGGTTGGGCTCATGACTTTTTCCACTAGCATTAATTTTTACTTACCCAGGATGTTCATTTAAGGTATATAATGATGGAGCTCTTTTGGGATCTGTAGTCTATAAATGATGATCTTACATTGCCTGGGCAAGTTACTTAACCCTGTTTGCCTCAGTTTCTTCATCTGTAAAATGAGCTGGAGAAGGAAATGGCAAACTACGCTGGTATCTTTGCCTTGAAAACCCCAAATTTCGACTCGTGGAGAGTCAAAATGACTTAAGAATGACTGAACAACAACACACCACATTCCCATAGAAACTTCGTCGTGAAAGCCTGCAGGTCTGGGCAGTAAGCCTTGGGAGGTGCCTCTTTCTTAGGGGGAAGGTCACACATGCTGAATGACTGCCCTGTGGATTTGCACAATATAGCAGAAAGGAAATATAGCAGAGCACTGTGACTCAAATCATAGAACAAATGATTTCTTCCGTTTTAAGTGGCAAGATTGTTATGTAGGTCTCATTCATTTATTCAACAAATATTTACTGAGTGGTTACCTTGCTCAAACCACTATGGTAAATGCTCTGAGATTAGATTAGATGTTACCTACCCTCAAAGAACTCACAATCTAGTGTGGGAGATGACATACATAAACACAAGACAGATGTGATCATGGCTCCCTCAGCAAGTCAACCCCTAAACCTTTTTTTTTTTTAAATAAGAACTTTGGGTTCATGCTGTAGGCTCAAAGACGAAAACAAGAACCTAATGCTAGTGGTTCCTGTATTTCTCCTCAGCTGCCTCAAAATGAACACATCTGGTTTGCTCTGGTGCCTCTGGGATCCACTGGAATCAGGCAGGGGGTGGGGGGGATGGGCAGGCAGCAGAGCACAATAACATCTGAGGATTTACAGCTGTAGTGTCTCTCCTGGTATCGTGTCACCTTAGGTAAGCATTTTCCTTTAATTTTCTAAATAGTTATCTCCTTTGAGCTTTTTCTTGTTCAGACGAAGGATGTTGCTAAAGTGTTGTTTGTTTTTTAACTAACTCCACTGTTGGGTCATAAGGCTCTGTGTCTATGTGATGGTGTTAGCTTTAGCTGGAGAATTGAGAGGGAGGTGTCTTAGCTAGTTATGACTTAACTGAACCAGATGGTCACGGCCACGGTAGTTAGATTTTCTGTGTTTCATTTTGCCCATCTGAAAGAGGGTTTATGATAAGTTGCTTTGTAACACAAGGAAAATAAGGAGTAATTTTTAATAAGAGGCCAAAAATGAATCAGTGAAAAGTGTCTATTACCTTAGGTAGGGCTTTGCCCAGGTATGCTTGAAGCTGTGGGAAGACTGTATGCCTCCATTGCTGCTTTTCCCTATACCAGCCAGGATCTTACACCAAGAAGCCACTAACACCTTGCCTCCAAGAGTATTTGGGGTTTGACTGAATTCATGCTTGTCACACCCTTTGTACAGCTGTGATCCTAGTGAGGAGTCATTAGTTGAGTGAGAAGGGATCGATTAGGACAGAAAGTTATGGATTATGTTACCATTCATATTCCTTTCCGGCTTGGGGGGAGGAAGGAAGGTTGTCTCTGATATAGCTTCTTCTTGTTCAGTTGTGTCTAACTTTTCGAGACCCTGTTTAGGGTTTTCTTGGCAAAGATACTGGAGTAGTTTGCCATTTCCTTCTCCAGCTCATTTTATAGATGAGGAAATTGAGGTAAAGAGGGTTAAGTGACTCTCTCAGGGTCATATAGCCAGTGAGTATCTGAGGCCAGATTTGAACTCAGGTCTTCCTAACTCCAGGCCCAGCGCTCTATCTACTGAGTCATCTAGCTATCTCTTGATATACCTTAGGTTGTGCTGATAAGGCACCCTTGTGTCTGAGGTTACTTACGTGAGCTGACACTCTTTTTATATAGTCATGGAATCACAGATCTATAGAATCTTAAGGTTGGAAGGAAGACTTATTAAATGGTATTGGGAGAATAATTAATACTGAGAGACTCACATTTCATATCAGTGTAAGAGAAAGCAAAAAAGCCAGTCTAGCTGGAATATAGAACACCCGAGGAGTTGAGTAGAAGTAAGTCAAGAAAGATGAGCTAGGAATAGCTTTAAGTGCTAAACAAGAGGAAATTTGTATTTAATCCTAGAACCAGTAAGGAGCCCCTGAAACTTTTTGAGCTGACATTGGGGGTTTAGGCAGACGGGGAGTTAAGGGTGGTGGTAGTGACATGGTCAGATCTGTGTATTAGGAATATCAACTTGGCAGCTGTGTGGAGGTTAGATCGGAGAGGGGAGAGTGAGCAAGAAGGAAGAATTAAGGATGGTGCCTAGGTGTGAACCAGGGAGAGTAAAAGGATAGGGATGAAGGAAGAAAGTTAGAAGAAGGGTGGGTTTAGTGGATGCTTTGAATTTGAGATGCTTATGGGATGCTGTATGTGGAGATGGTCAGCAGATAGTTGGTGATATGGGTCTGGAGCTCACGAGAGGGGAAGGCTGGATATGTGGATTTGTGAGTCAGTTCTACAGAGCTGATAATTGAATCTTGGGAGCTGGTGAGATCGCCAAGTGAGAGTTCAGGGAGAAGAGGGCCCAGGACAGAGTCGTGTAAATATGCACACATAGGAGCTAGAACATAGAGATTGAGGAGTGCTAAGACAGGTAGAAGGGAAAACCAAGGAGGGTAGAGGAAAGCAGTGTCATAGAGTTCAAAGGGTGAGAGAGACTATCCAGGATGAGGGGCTAGTTGAAAGTGTTAGAAGTTTCTGAGAAGTCTAGAGGGGACTGAGAAAAGGCTATGGGATTTAGCAGTTGAATTGTGGATAACCTTGAAGAGGGCACTTTGAGTTGAGAGATGAGGTCAAAAGTCACATGGCAAGGGGTTGAGAGCAGAACAGAATATAAGAAAGTGGACAATATTAAGATGAGATAGTTCTTTCTAGAAGTTTGGTTGTGAAAATGAGGAGACAGATATAGAAGATAATGCCTTGAAGGGATTATAGGGTCAGGTGAAGGGGTTTTTTTAGGGGGGGAGATCTGGGTATGTTCATAGGTGGCAGAGAAAGAGCCAGTAGTTAAAAATGATCAAATCACTGTAATCAGAGGAATGCTGTAGATAGAGTTTACCTAGATTCTTGCAAAGCAATTGATAAAATCTTATATTGTCCTTCTGGAAGGGATAGAGAGGTGGGTCAGACAGTTTAGATAATTGTGAAGCTGCCCAAATGGCTAGACCTGAAGAGCAGGCAGTAATGTCCTGATGTCAACTTGGGAATTTTCAGTGGAGTGCCCCAACCAGAGGACCTTTGCTGTTTATAATATTTTTATCAATGACTTGGATAAAGCACAGATGGCAAACTTATCATATTTGTAAATGACAGATCTGGTAGGGATAGCTAGAATTACATAATAAAGTCAAGAATTGAAAAGATCTGGACAAGATACAACATTAAACCAAATCTTAGTAAGATGAAATTTAATGATAAAATCTTATACTTGGAGTTAAAAAAAATCAACCTCACAGGTACATGATGGGGAAAGCTTGAATAAAGGACGTTCATCTGAAAAAATCGGAAAATCTCTGCAAGAATCAGCAATTTAATCTAGTGGCCAGGAAAGTGAATATGGTCTTAGACTGCTTGAAGAGAGACAGAGAATGTCCCAGAGGAGTGTTTTCTCTGCTCTGGCCAGGTCACATCTTGGATATTTTGTTCAGTTCTAAGCAACACATTTTAGGAAATACATAAGCAATCCAAAATGTGTCAAGAAGGGAATGGGGTGGCAGCTAGGTGGCACAGTGTATAAAGCACTGGACCTGAAGTCAGGAGGACCTGAGTTCAAATCTTGCCTCAGACCAAACACTTGACACTGGGCAAGTCAATTAACCCCAACTGCTGAAAAATAAAAAACTACAAAAAAAAAAGGGAAGGGGGTCATTAGAATGGTGAGGGCTGGCCGTGTGAGGATCAGTTGCAGAAACCAGAGATTTTAACTTAGATAAAAAAGATGGCTTGCGGGAGACAGGATTGCTCTCTTCAAGGGCTATTGAAAGGAAGAGCAGTAGATTGGAGTTGTTCTGTGTGGTCCCTGAGGGCAGCACTGAAACCAGTGGGTGGAAGTAAAGGATACTGATTTAAGGTCACTGTAAGGAGAAACTTTGTACTGGTGAGAGGTCTCCTAAAGTAGAATGGACCACTTTGGGAAGTAGTAGATTCACTTTTACTGGAGATCTTAAGCAAAGACTTGATAACCATTTGAGTATATTGTAGGAGGCCTCTTGTTCAGGTATGAGTTGGATGAGATGGCTTGTGAGGTCCTTTTCAACAATGTGATTCTTTGAATCTGTGTTTTTGTCTTTTTAAGTAAATCACTTTAAAAAAAAAGATTTCATCTGTATAGAGAACTCTGGGTATAAAAACTTATTCCATCGATGAAGACAGTAACACTATCTTATAGTCCTTAGACAAAGTAGGACATAGTTTTCTGAAAATAGGTGTATTGGATTCTGATAAAGGTCTGCTTCCTCTTTTGTTTTGGGTGTGAATAAGTAATACGTAGGATTGGCAGCTAGATTCGGGGCCATCTCTGTCATTGGTTTCCTTTTGAAACACTGCTAGAGTTGTAAGAAGTGTCCATGTCGACGGTTTCATTTTAGTTTAATATCTAGATGAGTCATCATTAGCTTAACACCGCAGATAGGATGTTTAAGATTATATCTGATGAATGGTACAAGAGTTGATTGCTGGACTGACATCCACTTTATTGATCACCCTTGTGTCAGGCTGTTGCTGTATATACTTAGAATTTTGGGGAATTTAACATGACTCTTAGTGTATCTGAATCAGTGCAGTCACTAGTTATGTCATAAGATTTCTACTGCTTTCAATTTTGAATTCTCATGTTCACTGTAATTCATACTTCCCCACCCCTGCCATCCTCTTCCTAAAATTTACAAACACAAGTCTGACCACTTTGGCTTACGATCAACAGCTGTATGCTGTTGGTGATGACCCTATGAATCTGACTTAAAGACACTCATGCAAATAAACTACTTTCCTCATGTCTTCTGTGCCATTATCATAATGAGCCTCTATTATTGTAATTTTTTAATATTTTGTAATTTGTTTTAGAAATATTTTTATTAATAAATTTTCTTTTAACTTCCTTTGACAGTGTTATTGAAATACGGAAACATAACAAAAGAACAAAAAGGCAAACCAAATGAAAACAATTACAGAAAACAGAAAAGAGGGGTACAAATGCTTGTGCAGATAGCTGTACACTTCTGTTACTTACTGATTGATTATTAAGCAAAAACTGCTCATGTTAACTTTCACAACGTAGTAACACAGTTGTCTGATGAATTTAAAATGGATTTTGTTGGTGTGCAATGTGTTTATTTCCACAGTTGTAATCATCTGAGGCAGACAGGGTATAGTGGAGAGAGGGGCTGGCCTCAGACTTGGGTTCAAGTCTTGCCTCTGATACATGTTAGCTCTGTGACTGTTGGCAAATCACTTAACCTCTCAATATCCCAAACAATTTTCTGAGAATAAAAAGTTGATGGGAATAGAAAAAAATTTGATAAATAAAATAAAAATTTTATTTTATAAATAAAAAATTGATGGGAATTTCTGTGTAGGGAATTCTCTACAGTTGAATTCACAAGTTCAGATCAAAAGCAAAAGAAGTTTCTGTAATAACTTGTTCTTTTAGATCTGCTTTCTTCATTCTTTATTACTTTTTAGGACTTCATAGGTTTCTTTGAATTCCTTATGTTTATCATTTTTAAAGCACAGATACTGCCATTTCCTTCTCCAGCTCATTTTACAGATGAGGAAAGTGAGGCAAACAGGGTTAAGTGACTTGCCTAGGGTCACACAGCTAGTAAGTGTCTGAGGTCATATTTGAACTCCTGACTCGAGGCCTGACACTCCATCCAATGTACTACCTAGTTGCCTCATATCCTCATATAATTTATTCAACCACTCCCCAGCTGTTGGGCACATTACTTCTATTATTTTGCTGTTCTAGTGTACTTTGAAGTAGTTTACAAAGTGGTAGTAAATGATGCTGTTACTTATATCATCTTATCTGGTAGAATAACTCTACAAGGAAGGTGGAACAGGTATTATTCTCTACTCACCTCCTCCCCACTTCTCTCCCCCCTCCCCATTTTATACATGGTGAAACTGAAGGTCAGAGAGGTGATTTGGACGATGTCCCATAAGGAGCAAGTAGCAGAGCCAGGACCAGAACATTTTGTCTTCTGACTCTGAGACCAGAGTTCTTTTTGCTACTTCGTGATGCCCCTTTTTGTATGATCTTATGGTATAGTTTGCTGATTTTTTTCTGATGACGGTAGAGTTAAGAATTAGAAAATGGAATTGCAAACTTCCTGGTGATCCTTTCTTGCTCAGATGTGGGTTATGAATAAAGCAAGACGTGACATGAGAGACAGACTTATCAGAGCAAAGATGACCAACAGTTCTTGTATCTTCATAAGTCCTTTCTCTTACTTTATTTATGTGGTGTGTTCTCCTGCTGGCAGAGGATGACCTCCCCTTCCATAGTGAGAAATATAAAATAGATCTGACAGAGACCAGTAGCCTCATGTGAAGTTGAATGGTGTAGAGGAATCATCTTCCTAGGACCTGAGCCCTTCCAGAGGAGCTGGTAGGTAGGGTGAAGTTTGGACTGCATTGTTGATTTGGACGTTCTAAACTTTCTCTACCTTCTGTCTATTCCCTGACTGATTTTCTCTCCTCCATCACCAGTCCCTTGTAACAAATTGCCCCAGCCACCTCATGTGGCTTCACTGTTATGTGGATGGAATTCAGTGAATTAGGACTTTTGTCCTATGTCCATCTCCTACTCTGTCTGCATGCCCTACCCATTCTTCTTTGGTTTTGGTAAAGGGGGGGATGGGAGGACAGGAGGACCTAGACTTGTAATTTCATAAATGTGGGGAACTTCTAATATGGTGAGTCTTCTGTCCCTGTAGATTGGCAACTCATCTTTGACCAAATGGCTTGTTCACGGGCACACAATCACATGCCCAAGGGGGAACTCGAACCCTCTTCTTGACTCCAAAGCTGGCACTATCACTCACTTTTTCACAATGCTTAAATAAAGTTTCCAGTTCATTTGAGAAGACAGATGAGAATTTCAAGGCTATCTAGTCAGTGCTTTTGAATATGAAATTGTTAGGCTTCATTGGATTGCATTTAGGATTGTCACCCCAATGTCAACATATAATTGATTGCTGTACGTTCTCTTGAAGTTGACTTTAAACTTTTCTTTGTTTTTATTTTGAAGGTTGAAAAAAGGCAGCAGAATGTTTTATCCATTGGAATTCAAACTGATAGCTATGTTTCTGGGTAAGTAGAAGCAGAGGGTATAAAGGTGATACTTCATTTCTTATAAATCTTGTTCAATTTCTTCTAAAACCAGTTTTGTTTTCAGTTCTCCTCATCTTTTGAGAAGGAAACAATAATTTTGCTCTTTGTTATTTTGTTGAGAAATTTGTCCTAAAATACATTGGACCAATTCTTTTTTGGAATGATGTTTCAGTCTCTATTCCATGAAGAGTCAAGTAACCTACTTCTTATTGGATATTCTTATTGGATATATGACAGTATTCAGGGAGATGGCATGATATATACAGTGGAAAGTATGCTGATCTTGCTGTCAGCAGACCTAAGTTTGAATATTTGCTCTAATACTTATTATTGATGTGACTTTGGATAAATTATTTAACCTTTTTGAGCTTCAGTTTTCTTATCTGTAAATGGAAATAATAATTCTTAAATTATTTATTCTTCAAGGTTATTGGAAGAAAGTGATTTGTGAACTTAAATCTCTCTATATACATATACACATATATTAGCATTATTGTTATTGTTTTTAAAGCACTAATTTTTAAGCTGTGGCAGTCTAATTTTTTTTCAGAAGTGTAGGCTGGAGAAGGTACTGAAGTTGATGGAAAAAGTAATAATCTTGGTCTAGATTCTTAAATCTGATCTCTAAAAATGGTTTTAGAGATGGTGTGGGTGAGGAACCTTGGGTCCCACTAGTCTTAATCTTTTCTTCCTTTTTCGTTCTTTTTTTTCCAATTTGCTTCATGGCTTTGCAGGGAGAGAGAATGCCTTTGCTCCATATCCTCCCTCCTTGATGCCCAGGTCTTGAGTATGTGTATGTGTTTGCGTATGTGTATGAATGCTTCTTGCTTTCTGAAGTTATGAAAACTGGGCCATTATCTGACTTAGTATGTCACCCACAGCAGAAGCCTTCACCTTTGGATGTGAGGCACAACCATATCCAAACATGAAGGTTATGCCTTAGAGAATGTGTGTGTCAGGGAAACGGATCTAGGGGGGCATTTGGGTGTGTTTCCAGTGACCTGTGGGAAAACCTGAGGCTTTCGAACTATTTTGGCTGGGCATGGAGGAGCAGTGGCCTGAACCCTATGAAATTCTGCCTGCTGTTCTGGTTTTGCCTAGCCTACTTCTGGGGAGGTAGCTCCCATCCAAGGTGAGAAGTATCTTTTTCTCTGCAGTTGCTTACTAAGATTTTTCTGTAAAAGTTCATCCCTCAGTCTCAAGTTTTGTCTCTGGCTTTTCTCCTGCTACTGTTAACCTTTGGTAGATCTTAACTTAAATACTTTAGATAGGCCACTCTTTAAGAGAGCCAAGGCGGAGGGAGCAGCAAAGCCCAGCTCTCATACAACTCCTACAGCAAGGATTGATCAGGAAATGCAAGGAGAACTACAGTTAGTTCATTTTGCCAGCCCAGGTCCATACAAAGAGACAAGCAGAAACCTTTGGGATCTAAGGAAGCAATCCAGACAGAAAAGCCCAGCCTAGCAGTAAAGTTGCCAGAAGATTTTCAGTTTCCGGACGAAGGGTGAGCCTGGAAGACTTAGAACCTGATGCACTCTGTGCTAGGGACCTGGAACAGGGTCTAACCCAAGAAACATGGAACCTGCAGCTATGTTACTTTGACCCCAAACCAGGGCTCTGACGGGGAAGGCAGCTATCAGGGCATACTTTGGATCAAACCATTCCATGTAGATTACCCTGGCAGTTAGGAGGCATCTTTACCATGGTGCCCATCACCCAGACACTAAGATAATACAAGACAGTACCAAAGAAGGCCTCACCATGCCATCCAGAGGTACACACATCCAGAGGTGACACCAACTCAAAGTCCCAGTTCATGAAGTAAGGCTGGAGAAATGACTAAACAGAAGAAAATAAAAATTAAGAGATGTTGTGGAGGGACAGACACTCAGGAAATAAATCCAGAAGAAGAAAATAACCATATTACCTACAAGTAAAGCTTGAAAGAAATTTAGAGATGCGCCACAAGCTATGCTGGAATTCCTAGAAAAAATGAAGCAAAGAATTAAAAAATGATACCAGAACTGAAATGAGAGCTCTGTAGCACTGACAGCGTAATATAGGAGGAAAACAAATGCTGTTGATCAGAGGTGTCAGTCATACAGTCTGTGGACCACATGTGACCCACAACACTCCTGAGTTTGGACCGAACCAGATTAAAATGTAATTGGAGTATGTTTGGCAAAATAAACAAAAATACAATAAACCATGGATAATAGTACCTTGAAACTAAGCCAATATGCAGCCTACAGGGATCCTTATGCATAGTTCAGTGGCTTCTGTTTCTATTTGAATTTGACATTATGACTATCGATTGTTCCCTTAAAGCAGTATTAAAAATTAGTTTCTTAGATATTTGCTTTAGAAGCAGCCACTCTTGTACTTCTCAAACTCATTCCAAATGTTAATCAGTTGGTTAGCTTAAAGCCTTCCCTGCTGGTAGAGATGTTTGATTCCTTTCAAAAGAATTCTATCATGTTTAGATGTTGGGGTCCCTGCTGCTGGGGAGGAAGTTAAATATCTCTTCTCAGGGAGAAGATCCTGGATGAAAAGATTGGCATATTGATTTTGTTTATTCTCATGTGGCTTTGTTTGGCTTTTCTTTGAGCTGAACTGAGCAGGATCTATATCTAGTTATAACCTAGTCTATGTCTTTGTGCCTGTGTTACTCTCCTTTCCCTCCCTTGCATTTCTTCCCTGACCTTATTCATTTGTAGACATATTGGGTTGTGAAATCCGAAATATCCACTTATCTAATAAGGTTCTCTGTCATTGGCCTTGAAATACTCTGTGCAGTTTATGATGCACATAGGGGGAAGACAACAGGCTGGGAAGTCAGTGGCTGAGGAAGGGTAAACAAAAGGCTGAGTCAGGAAAGAGCGTGTATGCTTGGCCAGGTAGCAAAGAGTCCTATGATCTATCCTGAAGCCAGAATCAGCCAGCAAGTCATAACTTTTTAAAAGAATAGGGGTTAAAAAAACCAAAAAAACCCCGTGATTTGGCTTTTTTAGATTAAGGAACCAGTGCTTTTTGACCAAGAGCAAGACTTGTAATTTTCCACTTCCTGTTTATTAGATGTGGCCACATAAGTAGGTGATCAGAAAGTTGGGTTTCCCCTGTTTTCTCTTAGCACACGCAAGGGACGGGAGAGAGTGTTTAAGGGCAGCAGCTAGGAGTTTTATTATGTAAGTCTGTCAGTTGGCATTTTATGATTTATTCAAGTCCATCAAGTCTCTTTTAAATGCCTGCTGTGTGTAGAGCATTGTGCTAGATGCTGGGGGATGTATCATGTATAGCTAGAAGCTGTAACCTGCCTTCATGAAGCTTGTAAGTCCATAGGATACACATATAAATAAGTAACTAATATGAAATTTGCATAACTAATACAAATAACTAATATAAATAACATGTAAAAAGTAATATGCAATATTGCATGAGTGCATATGAGAAGCACAAGCACAGTGCTTGCATAAATATTATGGCACATTTCTTTTCACTTAACCCAGATTGGGTGACTATCTTCTATAGGAAGTAATTGTTAATCCTTTTTAATTCTAGTGCCTTTATTCTGATAATTATTTTCTATTTATCTTGTACATAGCTTGTTTGTACTTAATTATTTGCTTATTGTCTCCCTGATTAGATTTTTTCCCCTTATCTGACCTTAAATTTAAAAAAAAAATGTTTTTATTGAAATCTTTTGTTTCTGACATCACCATAATATCCCATGTATCCCAGAGAGCCATCTCATATGTCAAATAGCATTTTTTTTGGAGAGGAAAAAAAGTCAGTATAATTGACTGAAAAATTGGGAAAAAACCCATGAAGTATGCAATGTGTGATGTCTGTAGACCTCCCACCACCACAAAAGGGTAGTTTTGGTGTGTCCTCTCATATCTCTTCATTTGGTCCCATTTGATCTTTATAGTTTTTTAAATTTACTTTTGATTTTGTAGTATGCACTTATTCTATCTGCTGCTGTTTGTAGCCACTGTTTTTACTTTTTGTAGTTACTATATTGTTTTCTTGGCTCTGCTTCCTTCACTCTGCATCAGTTCATATAGATCTTTCAGTGCTTCTCTGTATTCATCACACACATCATTTCTCACAGCACAGTAATATTCCACTACATTCATGTACCACCAAAAATATGTGCTTCTCATATGCACTCACGCAATATTGCATATTACTTTTTACATGTTATTTATATTAGTTATTTATATTAGTTATGCAAATTTCATATTAGTTACTTATTTATATGTGTATCCTATGGACTTACAAGCTTCATGAAGGCAGGTTACAGCTTCTAGCTATATATGATACATGTGGTTATTTCCTAGTTTCCCAATGGATGGGCATCTACTTTGTTTGTAATTCTTAGCTACCACAAAAAAATGCTGCTGTAGATATTTTGGAGCATATGGGGACTTTTTTTCCCCTTATTGATGGCTTCCTTGGAGAATAGTCCCAGTAATAGAGTCTCTGGTTCAAAGGGTATAAACATTTTGGTCATTTTATTTCCATAATTTCAAACTCGGCTCCATCAACAATGTATTAGTGTGTCTTTCTTCGCATAAGCCCTTCAGCATTGACTGTTGCCATTTTTGGCAATTTTTGTCAATATGTGAGATGTGAGGTGAAACTTTAGGATTGTTTTGATTTGTATTTCTCTTATTATTAGTCATTTGGACCATTTTTTCCATGTGGTTGTATAATTTTCCTTTTGAGAACTGTTTGTTCATATCCTTTGACTATCTATTGGGTAATGGCTGTTAGTCTTACATATATTTATTGTTTATATATCTTGGATACCAAACTTTTATCAGAAAAATTTGATACAAAGATCTTTTCCCATTTGACCACTTTCCTTTTTATCGTAGATACATTAATGTTGTCTGTGCAGAAGCTTTTCATTTTTAAGTAATCAGAGTTATGTATTATATCTTTTGTAATTGCCTGCCTATTGTTTGATTAAGAATGCATCTCCTACCCATAACTGTGAGAGGTATATGATTTGTTTCTCTTCTAATTTTTTTTATTATGTGAACTTTCACATTGTGGTTGCGTACCCATTTAGAATGTATTGGTATGAGATATCGTTCTAAGCCTAATTTCTACCAGACTGCTTTCCAGTTTTCTTAGCATTTATTATCAAATAGTTTTTTCCCTAGATAACTTATGTTTTCCCCTTTATCAAACGCAGGGTTAATGATTTCTATTGTTTTGGAATCTCCCTTGCCTAGGCTGTTCCATTGATCCCTCTATTCTTTAACCAACACCAGGTAGTTTTGTATATTAGCATTTATGTAGTATATTAGCATTTATGTAGTATAATATAGTATAGTATAACATAGTATATTAGCATTTATGTAGTACCTACTATGTGTCAGGCACTGTGGTTCAGCGCTTTACCAAAATTACCTCACTTGATCCTCACAACAGCCCTGCAAGGTAGGAGTTATTACTCTCCCTATTTTGTAGTTGAGGAAACAGACAGAGACAAGTGACTTGCCCACATTTCACAGCTAGTAAGAGTCTGAGGCTGGATTTGAATTCAAGGATTCCTGGCCCAGCACTCTGTTTACCTTTCATTGTATCCTCAGTGCATATCATGCTATCTGGCACATAGCAGGTGCTTAACAAATGTTTACTGACTGACTGGAAAGTATTTCACTTAACCTTGTTGGCTCCATTTTTGTTTCAAATGACAGAGCTCTTCTTGGGAGGGAGGTATAGTGGAGTTGGTGGCAAACCTTTATTTCTCCTGATTAAGTTGTCTGTTTAAACTTTTTCTCCTTGCCCTTGAATTTTTTAGGTTGTGTGTGGGGTCTGGATGACATGGTTGTTTCTTCCCCCGAACTGCTGGCCCATGTGGGTGACTCAGCCCTACTGGGCTGTGTTTTACCGAGCGCTGTGAAGAAACAAGTGACTAAAGTGGACTGGATGTTCTCCTCGCAGGAGCGTGCCGAGGTAATGAGAAGGGGGGAAGCAGTGCCTGATAGGGATTCCTCCAGCTGAGGGTTACACGGCAGTGGGGACAGGAAGAGAGTTCGGTTGCTTAGGAAGGTGGCTCCCAATTTTACAACTTTGTGGAAAACAAAACCAGTACACCACATTTCTAGAATGGCATGGGTTCACAGATAGGAAAGGGAACTCATTGTAGTCTGACAAATAGAATAGCCTTTCTAGGCAGTACAGTGACTAGAATACTGGGCCGGGGGTCAGGAAAGCCTGAGTTTAAATTTGGCCTCAGGGTATAACCCTGGGAAGTAATTTAATCTCAGTTTCCTCAACTGTAAAATGGGTATAATGGTAACACCTACCTCCCAGGGTAGTCATGAAGATCAAGTGAGATAATATTTGCTAAGCACTTTGCATAGTGTCTGGCCCAGCGTAGGTGCTTAATAAATCTTTTTTTCCCTTCTCTTCTCCTATGGGATACTTTAGGGATTTGAATTTATTGACAGAATCCACAAATGCAGAAGTTCCTAGTTAACTCAGTGACCACTCTGGGGATAGTTACATTAGGGCCCAGATTTATAACACAGATTCTTATGACATATGCAAAATTTTGAAAGAGAACCACAAAGTAGAAGTCATGGCTGCAGGGTGTCTTGTCTTCATCTTCTCCCTTGAATTTTCTTTTTAGAAGAGTAGGGACCATTTGAAGGGGGGGGGCCAGGGAGAGAGAGAGAGAGAGAGAGAGAGAGAGAGAGAGAGAGAGAGGGGAGACAGAGAGAATGTGTGTGTGTGTGTGTGTGTGTGTGTGTAGGTATATAAGGGTGAGTTTGTAGATCTTAGTCAGGACAGACATTGGGGTGGTGTGTGTGTGCACAGGCCCCTGCAGACCTGGGGTGAGGGGTAAAGGTGAGAAAGGCTGGCCTGTGGCTTGGTGTATGCAGCCTCCCTTCTGTTAGAAGACCCTTCTGCTGGGGTAGGAGGAACAATGGTCCCTCCCAGATGGCTCATTAGCATGAGCATTTTCTTTTTTTGTTATTCTTAACTTGAGAAACATCAATAAACATGTCCATTTCAATATATAAAGAATAGAGACTGTGTGGTGTACTATATAGGGCAGTAGATTTGGAGTCAGGGAGACCTGGATTCAAATCCTATCTCAGATACTTATTTGCTGTGTGACCCTGGGCAAGTCACTTAATCTTTTTTGTACTTCAGTTTCCTCATCCCTAGAATGAAGGGGTTGAACTCAGTGGCCTTATAGCTCCTTTCTAGCTCTAAATATATGATCCTAAGGTTCTAAGATTGTATAGGAAATCTTTGATCTCTATTATGTATGGCTTGTTTTTTTTAAAAAATATATAATAAATTCATCGTACTAGTTTCAGAGTGATTTTGCTTGTCTGTGTCTTCCTCTAACTACTTTCTGTTCTCTTCTGGTATTTTAAAAATACTTCATGGAGACGCTTTTCTTTGTTTTGGCATCACTATCACTAGTCTCACTCTTCCTCCCAATACACCTCCACCACAAACATTTTTAAACCTTCCCTTATAACAAATAAGCACAGTTAAGTCCCACACATTCATGCCTTGGCCTTGTCCAAAAACGCGTCTGTGGTTTTGCCCCTCTAGACCGTCAGCTCTGTGTCCAGAGCTGGGAATCGCATTTGATCCCCAGTCAGTCCTCTGGAGTGATGGCATGGGCGTTTTCTCACATAACCACTGTGGTCACTTTGTTCAGAGGACCCAGGTTCTGTGGAAGCAGTTGAACGGGAGAGGGGTGAGGTTTAAGCTGGCTCTGTGATACTCAGGGGTCCTGAGTTCATTCCTTTTGTTCTTCCTGTGCCTCACTTTCTCATCTGATAGAAAGAGTGATCTAACTAGAGGACTGTAGGATTACAAGACACCAGGTATGGTGGGGATATTTTGGGGAAACCCTCTAGCAAAGAGAACGGCATTTTATACTTCCAGAGCAGAAGCTATCTTTGCAGTGGTTATGCACCTGCCTCACCAGAAAATATCATGTATTGTCTTAGATCAGGGTGGGGAATCTGCAGCCTTGAGGCCACATGTGGCCCTCTAGGTCCTCCAGTGCAGTCCTCTGACTGAATCCAAACCTCACAGAACAAATCCCCTTAATAAAAGGATTTGTTCTGTAAAATTTGGACTCAGTCAAAGGCCACACCTGAGGACCTTGAAGGCCTCATGTGGTCTCGAGGCTGCAGGTTCCCCACCCCTGTCTTAGACTGTAGGCAGCTGATGGGCAGGGGCAGAGGTTTATTTCAGTGCTAGATTCTGGACAGAGCCATGCATTAGGTGTATAATAAAAGTTTTCTGATGATAATTATTGATTATGCACAGACAGCAACAAGCATCTGTGCCTGTAAAATCCAAGACCTGGCACAGCTCATCTTTTGACTTTCTCTGACTCTGCATCACCTCCTAGGGGGAGTTTGTGCTGTATTACTTTGCCAACCTCAGTGTGCCTGTGGGGCACTTCAAGGACCGTGTGCACTTGGTGGGGAAAATCTCAGACAATGATGGCTCCATTTTGCTGCAGAATGTGAGAGAGGCTGATCAAGGAGTCTACACCTGTGAGATCCAGGTCCACAAAGAGAGCGCTGTTTTCAAGAAGACAACCATGCTGCGAGTAGTCCCAGCTAAGCTCACAAGTACGTGAATGCTTGGCCATGGGGAGAGCTTAACCTAAGGGGCAGGAGGCCTGGGGATAAGGGGCAAAATTTGACCAGTCAACCACACTGATGCCTTGCCCACTGTGCTGGGAAAAATTGAGTTGAGCCAGTGGATGGTGGTGGCAGGGGGAAAAGGTGGGAAAGATGGACAATGCAGGATCTCTCTTGGAAAGTGTTCACTATGATTAACAATAATGGTTGACATTTGTGTAGCGTTTGAAAATTGGCAAAGTACCTCATTTGATCTTGACAACCAACCTGTGAGGTGGGCACTATAGGTATTATTATTCAAAAAAGATCAACTTCATAAGTGTAAGATGGCAGAGACCCATGATTAGATAGCAGTTTGAAAAGTTTGGGGGGTTTTGGAGGATGCCAAACTCAATAGGAGACAACAGTGTGACACGGCAACCAAAAAAGCAAATACAATCTCAGGCTGCATTGAGAGAAACCTAGTGTCTAGGGCTAGGCTGTAGTCCTGCTCCTTCCTGGTGAGGTCCCATTCTGGGTACCACATTTTAGGAAGGACATTGATAAGCTGGAGAGTGCCTAGAGGCGCACAACTAGGATAGTGAAAGATCTTGAAATCGTGTCATTTGAGGATCTGTTGCAAGAAATGGGAATATTTTGCCTGGAGAAGAGAAGATTTAGGGGGGGATTTGATAGCTGTCTGCAAGAATTTGTAAAGGGTAATCCCATGGAAGAGGGATTATGGAATCCTTTTGTGTGGTCCTGTAGGCCAGAGTTGGGATAAATGGATAGAAATTGCAAATGAATAGATTTAGGTTGATGTACTGACCTTTTGACAATTAGAGCTATTACAGTAGAATGGGTTACCTTGAGAGACACTGATTCCCTTTCTGTAGAGGTCTTCAAACAGAGGCTAAAAAACCACTTATGAATATAGCAAGAGCTTTCTTCCTTCCTGGTTAATAGCACTGTCCGTAGACCCAGTAATATTAAGTTGTGACTGAAGAAAGGAGAAGTTAGGGATGAACATGGTAAGAAACACAATCTTCAGATTTAAGTCTTAATGCCATAGATTTAAGAATATTTAGACACAGTCCTGTTAGGAACAGAGTGGTCAGTACTGGAGAGCACAAGATTCTAAGTCTGTGGGAAGGCTTGAATAGCCTGGCAAGCCATTAAGAAAAGATGATGTTGACAGTGGTAGTAGAAAATTAACACCACCCCTCCCTTCTACTTCTAACCCATACTTTGGGGATGAGTAAGTAGGATTAGACTTTAGGTCCCAAACTGGTCAAGAACTACTGTCCTAATAATCTAATCTGGAGTGGAAGTCAGCCTACCTCCCTGTTCCTAGCTACTCATTAAATATTTGCTAAACTGCCTTGGAAATACCAGTGTCTGAACTCATAGCAAGCAAAGAGTATGATTCTTGAGGAAGAGAGTCTTAAGAAGTGTCTAATGCCAGCTCTCTTTACTGTTTGTGTCTGTCGTTAAGCACCGAAGCCCACAGACGCCTTCAGAACTGATGTGCTGAGTAACTATCAGCATGTGATCATCGTAGGGATTGTTTGCTTTACCATCATACTGCTTGCCATTCTGGGAGTGACCATGAGGAGGAGTCATCGCCACCACAGGTATAGGAACAGTCGTATTAGGCACTGAGATACTGAATGTTGGATGGATGCTGAACCTGCCTTGGGCCTTTCTCCCTCTTCTCCATTCTTGAGTAAAGAGCTCCTATTTAATAGCTGTTCTTTCTACTATTGAGTGACCACACATGGGGAAGAGTGACAAAGTCCTGAAAGCATCATCTTCTATTGGAAGGATCATTTAAAGTTTTGCCATCTCTTGATTAACTGACTATGAATTATCTGGTTGGTACTTTGATGTGGGTATGCCATGCTGGGTGGTCTTTTGCCAGCATTTCCTGCATCATGCAATTGATTACAAATTCTTCAGAAAGACCTTGAGAGTGTCCTTGTGACCACCATGTGAGCACCTTCCTTGCATGAGTTCTCTGTAAAATGGTATTTTAAGCAAACATACATTAAAGAAGGCACTGTGTTCTATGAGTGAAGCAGAATTGCAATAGCTCAAAAGAAAGGCTAGATGCACAAATTTAGAGAGATCTCCACCCCAAATGTTCATATGAACTATTTGTACCTGACTTGTGGTAGAGCATTCCAAGATCATATTGGTCTCTGATCAGCCACAGTCAGACACACTGTACCTTGACTCCAATATCATTGTGGTCCTCTTTGAGAATGAAGGACAACAACATCCATCTGGTTACTAATTATTATTGCCTCTATAGTCTTACTCTGAAGCTTCAACATGGAATGAAGGTGACTGAAAATTCTCACAGCTGGGTTAAAGTCTGAGCTATGGCAGGTTCTGCTGTGGTAGAAAGATTTATTTAGGTAAAGGCCTAGTGACAGAATGAGTCTGCTTTTCAAAGACCAGCCCAACTAAGTACAGAGAATTTCAGCACCAGAAGATAAATACAACTAAGATAATTCTGTTTTTGACACTTTGGTTATTGCCAAGTGAGTTTTAAAAGAGGAAGACATATGCTTATCAAAGGCATTCACCCCTGTAATGGAGGATGCTTTTGTTTCTTAAAAAAAAAAATGCGATCAGCAAAAATCTGCCTTCTCTCCCTCCCACTTCTTCCTCCCCTCAACCACCATTGAAAAAGAAAGAAAAATAACCCCTTCTCACAAACATGTCTAGTTAAGCAAAGCAAATATCTACATTGGCCATATCCCTCCCTGCAAAAACATTCATTTTTATATATGTATATACCTATATCTACATCTATATCTACACCTATATCTATATCTATATCTATATCTATATCTATATCTATATCTATATCTATATCTATATCTATATATATATATCTGTATCTGTATCTGTATCTGTATCTGTATCTGTATCTGTATCTATATCTATATCTATATCTATATCTATATCTATATCTATATCTCTACATCTATATACATCTATCTATCTATCTATCTATCTATCTATCTATCTATCTATCTATCTATCTATCCTCTTCAATCCTTTACCTTTCTATCAGGAGGTGGGTAGCAAATTTCATCATTAGTCCTCTGGAATTGCGTGGTTGGTCATTACACTGATCAGAATTCCCAATTCTTTAAACGTTGTTTGCCTTTATAATATTATTGCCATTATATGAATTGTTCTCCTGTTTCTGCTCATTCTACTTGGTATTAATTCATACAAATATTTCCAGGTTTTTCTGAAACTATCCGCTTCTTCATTTCTTACAGCACAATAGTATTCTATCATATCACATGTGTACATGATGTACATGATTATATGATATATACAATACAATGTACATGTACAAGTGTTCATTCCTATATGTACATGTAAACACAGCATACCTCTACATGTACACATACACACAACATACGTATATGTACATATACCTACATACACACATGTGTGTGTATATATATATATATATATATATATATATATATATATATATATACATATGCATACCATCATAAATATATGTATGTGTATATGTGTGTATCTATGTCTATATATCTTATTCAGCCATTTCCCAATTCATGAGCATCCTCCCACCCCCAGCCTTCCAATTCTTTGCTTCCACAGAGCTATATTTTTGTAAATCTTTAAAGTTGGTCTTTCTTAGGACTAATCCTTCCTTTAATCTACCTTCCCTCTCATTCTGCCTTCTCTTTTTGTCTTGTTTTTCTGTTGAGTGAGATGTATTTCTGTACCCAGTTGTGTGTTTGTTTTTCCTTCCTTTGACCAGTTCAATTGAGAATGTGTTAGCTGTTCCCTCCACCCCTTCTTCCTTATTTTTATAGAATCCTACCATCCATACCCCAGTTATGTGACATAAGTTCCCCTAACTTTCCTCTCCTTTTTCCTCTCTACTGTATTCCTCTTCCTCTCCCTTTCTATGATCTTTAAGATCATCAGTAGGGGCAGCTAGGTGGCACGGTGGATAGAGCACCAGCCCTGGAGTCAGGAGGACCTGAGTTCAAATCCGGCCTTAGACACTTAACACTTACTAGCTGTGTGACCTTGGGCAAGTCACTTAACTCCATTGCCTAGCCCCCCCCCCAAAAAAAAAGATCATCAGTAGAAACACTCCCAGGCATTCTGTCTTAGACTCCCCCTATGCCCTCTGATGATGATAGGATTCTGATGAGACATACATATCATCTCATATTTGAATGTAAACATTTTGTCTTTTTTAGTTCCTTATGATTGTTTGTTCATGTTTACTTTTTTGCATTTCTCTTGACTTCCGTGTTTCTACTTCATATTTTCTATGTAGCTCTGGTCTTTTCATTGGGAATGCTTGGAAGTCCTCTATTTTATTAAAGGTCTATTTTTTCCCTATGGAATTATATTCAATTTTGTTGAGAAAGATATTTATGGCCCTAAGCCTATGTAGCCTTTGCCTTCTGGAATATTGTATTCCAAGCTCTGGCTTCTGTATAGTAGTAGTTGCTAAATGCTATATGATCCTGACTATAGCTCCTTGGTATCTGAAATCTTTCTTTCTGGCTTCTTGAAGTATTTTTTCTTTTGACCTGGAATCTCTGGATTTTGGCTATGATCTTCCTTTCATTTTGGAGTTCCTTTCAGGAGGTGACCAGTGGATTCTTTCTGTTTCCACTTAGTTCTCTGGGTCTAGAGGCAGTGCAGTGAATAGAGTGCCCGACCTGGACTCAAAAACACCTAAGTTCAAATGCAGCCTCAGATGCTTTCTAGTTGTATGACGCTGGGCAACTTACTTGACATCTGTCTGCCTTAGTTTGCCTCTGTGTAGAGTGGGAATAATAATAGCACCTACCTCCCAGGGTTATTATGAGAACCAAATAAGATAAGATTTGCAGACCTTAAAGTGCTATATAAAACCTAGTGATGATGATGAAGAAGAAGAGGAAGAGAAAGAGATGATGATAATCTGGGTAGTTTTCTTTCATGATTTATTGAAATCTGATTTCAGAGCTCTTTTTTCTTTTTTTTTCTTTTTTGGTCATGACTTTCAGGTAGTCCAGTGGTTCTTAAATCACCTCTCCCTGGTCTGTGTTCTGGGACAGTTTTTGTTATGATATATCTTAGATTTCCTTCTGTTTTTTTTTCCACTTTTTTTGACTTTGTTTTCTTTCTTATTGTCCCATGGAATCATTAACTTCTATTTGGTCCATTCTGATTTTCAAGGAGTTTATTTCTTGGGTAAGGGTTTATACTTCTTGTGCTAACCTATTAATTCTTTCTACTTCTTTCATTCATAGCCCTCATTTCTTAATTTTTTCCTCTAAATCTCATTTCATTTATTAAAAACCATTGCTAAACGCTTTTAAAAAACTTTTGCTTTGTCTCTTCTAGGAATTCTAGTTAACTTTGTACTTAAATTGTGTTTTTTCTTTGAGATTTTTCAGTCATTTTTTCTTTCTGGCTCTATATTTTGAGCATCCCTGTAACCCAATGAAGTAGCTTTTTGTGGTGGGGTTATTTTTTTGTTTACTCATTTTCCCAGCTTGTTTCCTGACTCTGGGCTTTACATGAGGGCTGTGCACACTTTTGGAGTGAATTTCTGAGCTGGTCCTCTTGGTGCTTTCTTGGGGTACTCAATGTTGTGTTATTCCAAGATCCAGGTCAGGCTTGGAAACCTGCAAACTTTTGGTGTCCCCAAAATGGTGTGATCCATGGCAGAGTCTGATTATGAGCTCTGCTGGTGGGCTTGCAGTTTTTGGAATTTCAGTAGATTAGTTCTGAATTGAGCTACTATCAGCCATTTAGAAAGTTCTGTTAGTGCAGTGATGGAGCTATAGTCTTCCCTTTGGTCTGGGATTCCCACCCTTTTTATTCTATCACAGGCTTTATACTGGGCTAGAAGCTGAAGCTGAGACCCCACTCACCCCTGGGGTCCAAGCCACACAGGTGCTACTTGCTTCTGAACTGGCTCCTTGATCAGAACACACCTGAAGACCCTTACCCACTCTTCTCCCTGGAGCACCATGCTTAGGCACAGTTCCCCTCCTCAGTTTGTCCTGGAGCTACAATTCAGAACTAAGCAGTGACAGAGGTGCCAGTTGGCACCTGTTCATGTGCCCTCTACAAATTTAGGCTCCTCTCTGCTGGATACAGGATCTCTTCTTCTTTTTCTTTTTTTTAAAAAATTAATCTATTTTTAGTTTTCAACAATCACTTCCATAAGCTTTTGAGTTTTAAATTTTCTCCTCCTCTGTCCTCACTTTGCTCCCCAAGGGCGTGCAATCTGATATAGGCTCTGCATATGCATTCCCATTAAACATATTTTCACATTAGTCATGTTGTAAAGAAGAATTGGAACCAATAGGAGAAACCACAAGAAAGAAGAAACAAAACAGGAGAAAAAAAAAAGAGCAGATAGTATGCTTTGATCTGCATTCAAACTCCATAGCTCTTTCTTTGGATGTGGATAGCATTTTCTTTTTGTTGTTGTTGTTGTTTGTTTTTTGTTTTTAGGCAGTTGGGGTTAAGTGACTTGCCCAGGGTCACACAGCTAGTAAGTGTCAAATGTTTGGTCTGAGGCTGGATTTGAACTCAGGTACTTCTGACTTCAGGGCCAGTGCTCTATCCACTGTGCCACCTAGCTGCCCCATCATTTTCCATCATGATAGCATTTTCCATCATAAGACCTTTGGAGATGTCTTAGGTCCTTGAATTGCTGAAAAGGACCAAGTCTATCAACGTTAGACATCGCACAACGTGGCTGTTATTGTGTACAACGTTCTCCTGGTTCTGCTCACCTCACTCAGCATCAGTCCATACAAGTCCTTCCAGGTTTTTCTGAAGTTTGCTTGCTCATCATTTCTTATAGCACGGTAATATTCCCTTACATTCATATGTGGGATCTCTTCTTGCTCTGGTGCACAGACTCACCCTGCTCTGGGATGTTCCATATGGTGTGCACCCACCCATAACCCGTTTCCCATGTCCACAGAGCGCTCTGTTTACTTGTTTTGACTTGGGCTGGAAAAATGACTCGATATGCTTTTGTCTTGCATTTCTTGATCATCATTTGGTCTGGTGTATTTTCTGGATCTTTTTGGAGAAGTTGTAGGAATGAGTAGAATGCAGCTCACTGTACTTCTGCCTGCTACTCTGCTGTGTTGGCTCAGAGGATGCTTTTCAAAGCATTCACATGGAAGATGCATCTGTTTGTTGATGATGTGCTGATTTTCTCAAGTTCCGGAACAATATGGGTCCTCAAAGGAGATGCAGGATTATTCAAAAGAAATGGGCCTACTGATCCATATGAGAAACACTAAATGGATAAAAAAATACCTGTTATCCAGACAATGTTATACAGTTAGAAGGCTAATTCCATCACCATATATAACTGTGACGTGTACTACAGAGGAACAGTGAGTTGGACCTAGAATTGATGAAGAGGAAGAAAGGGAAATTACATGTGGGAAATTGCAAGATGATTTATAATACCAAGCTACTCTCTAGCACAAAAACACATTTTAAAAAATATGTGCCATCTTGGTTTTGGTGTTTGATTGCAAGTCTTAGAATACCACAATCTCTGCAGGCAACCCAAAGTCAGTGGAGAGATGCGTGGTGGGTACAAGTAGGTTGTGATCTTGCAAGATGATTTTCAAGCAAGAAAAGGTGTGAAGGATATCATTCAAGGCAAATATGTTTGTAAAAGAGGGTGGGCTAGTTGTGGTGAGAGCAAGGAGCAAGAGATGGACAACCTGAGAGGAAGGCAGACTTTCAGCACGTGAGCAAAAACCTTACAGGATGAGGTGTGGATGGGCTGTGATCTGTGCTGATGGAGCCCTGCCTAGAATCACAGATTCACTGAAATATTGAAGTCATTATTCGTGACAGTTATTAATGCCAGACTCTCATTGTTTCGACATTTGTCCCACTTATAGGATGTGTGTGCCCCATCCCTAATTTGGTGATGTGTATACAGGTTCTGTATTTCCAGCTATGAACTCCCTTCTAATCTCCAGACCCGCCTCTCCAACAACCTAATGCCTATCATCGTTTGGATGTTTCATTGCCGTCTTAAATCCAGTGAGCTCATTATCTTTACCCATAAACCAACTTCTTCATCTTTTTTTTCTTTAAATTCTGACCGTGGCACCTCCATTTATTCTGTTTTCCACATTTGAAGTCTTGGGGCTTCTATTTTTATTATTTTTCTATTTTATTTTAAAAATCTAATCATTTATCAAGTTCTATCAGAGGCAGTTAGTTGACCCAGTGGATAGAGTGATATGCCTGGAGTCAGCAAGACTTGAGTTCTAATCTTGCCTCAGATACTTACTAGCTAATGTGACCCTGGACAAGTCACTTAACTGTTGCGGTCTGTCCCAGTTTCCTTCTTTGTAAAATGGGCCTATTAATACCATCTACTTTTCTGGGTTCTTATGGGGTTAGAACGAGTTAGATTCATAAAGCACTTTGCAAACCTTAATGTGTTACATAGATGTTAGTTGTCGTTGTTAATCTTCCTCATGCACAGATTTGATCACGTTATTCCTCACTTCAAAAATCTTCAGTGACTTCTTATTGCCTACTGAGTGATGTTCAGATCCCTGCATGCCATTTAGGGGCGCCCCCCAATTTAGGGCTGCCCTACCTTGTCTCATTACTCCCTTCTATACACACACACACACAAACACACATACACACATACTTTATTCCATCAAAACTAGATTCTTAGAATTCCACCGAACATACCCTGTCCTTGCTTACGTTGTCCCTTACATCTGTAATGTTTGCCCTTCTTCCTCTTTGTCTGTTGAAATTTTATCCATTTTTTAAATACCAGTTCAAATGCCATGAAGCTTTCCCTTATCTTTTCATGCTTAAATAGCACTTTGTTTTGCAAACCTACAAGACGCATAAATTATCATGTAACGTAGCTGTCTCAGTTTGTGTCTTCTCTCCCTATTGGATTACTTGTTCCATGAGGACAGGGACTATGGATTTAAATAAACTTTATATCTTCCTCAGTGCCTATCAGAGTAAGCAATAAATGTTTGACTGATTGAATTTTAGTATTAGCCCAAGTGAAACATATTTATGTAGATAAACCTTCAAGGGAAAAGTAAGCAAAAGCCAGTTAGAAATGATTTTTGGTTTATCTGCAACAAGGCTTTTTTTCCATAAGCACAAATCATTGAGAGTGAAATGTCTGCAGTCTTTGTATAATCCTTGAAAGTGACTTTTCGTGTAAATTCCATGAAGGCAGTTACCATGTTTTCATCTTTATCTCCCCAGTGCTTTGCACATAGGAGGCAGCTGGTAAAAGTTTGTCGAATTGATAATAGTTCTGTTTAAAACCAGTGAGTTGCATTTGTAAGAGGAACCACTTTTTATCAGAACTTCTTGTACTCAATTTTATTATTATAATAATATTATTATTATTATCATTATTACTGAAGTCTTCCCAACCTCCCATATGAATTAGGATTTGAAGCACCTATATTCCAAGGTATTGAAAATACCATAATTTTTAAACTGGACAGAGTCACTAGTTCCCCATCAGTCCTTTGTAGGCCACATCTCTCTGTTTAAGCAGCTAAGTTCAAAACTTACGATCAAGTCACTGTGTCGCTGAAGCAGTTTTCATAGGCAGCATGGTATTGTGCAAAGACCACTGGATGGAGTCTCATAACTTCTGGGCCTTGATCCTGGCTCTCACACTTACTAGCTGAGGGATCCAGGGAAAGTCACTCAGCCTCTCTGTCGTTTAGGTTTTATCCTCTGTAAAAGAGGATAGTACTTGAACTACTACCTTCACAGGATGGTTGTAAGAAAAGTACTTTGTAAACTATAAAGCTCTACCTTAAAAAGAGCTGGTCTTATTGCTTATTGTTACTAGGAATTATTGTTACTAGGAAAATAGCCCCAGTATAGGCTAAAAAATATTTATCTTAGTGTCATCTTCCCTTGCCAAAGGAAGAACTGGACAAACATTTTGTCGGTTGGATTTATCCTCCCAGATTGCTATCTCTAACTTCCAGTGGCAAATGAGAGAGGAATGATGCAGACCACCAGAGTCCGCGAGACAGATATGGAAGGGGCTTAGGAGTAACAGATAAGCCACCCCTCTCAGTATAGGTATCTAAACAATTCTGCAATAATTCTGAGAGGCAGTGTGATGTAGTGGAAAGGACCTGGAACTTAAAGCTGAAAGACCTAGCTCTGTGGTAGTAATGGGCAAATCCTTCCCCTACTCTGGGCTTCAGTTTCTTTCCCTATAAGTGAAGGAGTGGATTCAATGAATTATCAGGCCTCTTCCAGCTCTAATGTTCTACGTAGGAATTCTTCTGTCTTGGGAATCCAAGAGTGGAGATGAGAACATTGCCTCTGCTGTACTTCTGCTGCCATCTGGTGGTTCAACTACATAGCGCTGGGCCTATTTCCCTTTCTGTAGGGAGACAGGACTTAAAGGTTAGGCTGGACTAGGGAACCAAAGGGATGAAAGTGATTTTAGGTTAGTAAGTTTTTATTGTCCTTACACTCAGGCAAAGTAGCTACTTGTCTGTATGGTAAGATTTGGGGGGGAACCTAAATACTGTCTCTGCTTGAGCTCTTTAACAAGGAATAAAACCTTTTACTCTATCTTTAGAGAAAAGGTTTAAAATTAAAATGTATGTACCCCTGGGAGAGGCAAAATATTGACTAAAATAATTCATGCTGACGTATGAGTGACTAATTTTAGAATCCTCTTCTGAGACTAAATTTTAATTCCCTGAATAGAAGAGAGACTGAGATTACTGGTCACTGTAAAGGGAGGAGTACCATCAAAATGAGGTGAAGGGAGAGAGTATCAGTGTAAAATATTTCCTGCTTCACAATTCTGCTTAGGCTGATCCTGTAAGACATGTTCCTTTCCCTGAAGGGGCTTATTTTCTCATTGGTGAAGCCTTATACATATGAAACAACTGAGAATTTGATATCCTATTTAAGTACCAGAATGAATGGTACAAATTTGTGGAAGAGTTTAAATCTCTTTGAATACATCCTCATGCTTGATAAGTAAAGCCTAAACAGGCAGGAAATCCCTCTCCTTAAAGATCTCCAAGGAGATTCCACAGCTTCCCTCCTAGTCTATTTGTAATGACCTCTCTCCCTAAATTATTGGCCATGAAGCTGATCTAATGACAACTGAGGCTGAGGAGAAGCCTGTATGAAATAGAAGAAAAGAAAACAGACCTCCAGGGATTGACATCTTGCATTCCACCAAAGGACCCAAATTCCACAGATGCTCTAAGAACATTTAGTAGCTGATCCAAGCTAGATTGGGAGAGTAAAAACTTTGTGAGTCACATCATATATGGGAGTAGATAGAATTCACTTTCCTGTACCCTAAGGTTCTCTTCTCCATGAGAGTTCAGTACAGAAGCAGTGACCTGGTGATGCTTAACTATTAACCCCATGTTTTATTTACTTTGCAGATCAGAAAACCACTTGGAGAATACCAGTAAGGCTAAGTCAGAGGTAAGTGGACTTTCTTCTCATGTAACTGCTTTGTCTTCTGAGATGTGGGAAATGCTATAGATAAAGAATTCAATTATAAAATACTCTATAACTTTGTGGTAGTGGTATTATTCCTCCATGGATGTAGCTGCTGAGGGGGAAGAGAAGGTTGAAGAAAGCAGGATGTGACAGCAAGACTTGAGATTTTATTTTTATAAATATACACACACGTATATATGTATTCAATATGTATGCATATGTTAGTATATGTCCTATATACATATACACAGGAGTGTGTGTATATGGATAGATAGATCAATAGATAGATAGAACTAACATTTCTCCTGTTCCCTAAAGTGCTTTTCTCCACAAAAGGTCAGTATGAAAAGTGTGTGCATGTGCGCATGCACACATGCATGCTTGCATTTGAGATGTGGCATAGAGCAGTGGATAGAGAATCAGTCTCAGAGCCAGAAAGAAAGTCCCACCAAGTCCCACTGGCCATGTGACACCAACCAAGCAACTCATTAAACCTCTCTGTACTCTAGGCAACTCCCTCAGACTAAGATTTGTGCAGTAGGTGCTGACCTGCATTGGTAGGAATTTCCTCATCTGGGAGTTCTCTATATGTATAATGTATGTGAAGGTATAGTTATCTGTATCTATAAATGCAGGGCAGCTAGGTGGCACAGTGGATAGAGTGTCAGACCTGGAGTCAGGAAGACTTATCTTTCTGAGTTCAAATCTTGCCTCAGATACGTCCTAGCTGTGTGACCCTGGATAAGTCACTTAACCTGGTTTGCCTCAGTTTCCTCATCTGTAAAATGAGCTGGAGAAGGAAATGGCAAACCACTCCAGTATCTTTGCCAAGAAAACCCCAAATGAGTTCACAAAGAGTCAGACACGGCTGAAATGATTGAATGACAACAAAATCTATAAATGTAGCTGGATGATTTAAAAAAAAAGTTTCTCTCTGAGTATTCATTCTTCTCCATATTATGTTATTTGTTATATGTGCCCTTAGATAAGGTCCCAGGAGTCTGAAAGTCTGTAGCTGGATGACATTGCTTTGCCAAACACAAAAAGATAATTTGGATTCTGAAGTGCCATTGATACCACTAATGGGAAGTTTAGCCCTTTAAGACCTGTTCTGCCATGCACAGTTCTCTGGAAGGAATCATTTGTTACTTAATGCCACCCTGCCATGGCTTTAATTAGAAGAGATTACCCAAGGTGACAAGATGCTAGTCTCCTGCTGGTGTCTAAATACCTGGACCAAAACTATGTGTTTGGTTTTTGAAAGAGTAGGTTTAGATCCTGAGATGAGACTCTTTCCTGACAACTTAATTCTCATGGAGAATGAATGAGACATATGACTAACTCATATAGTCCAGCTCTCATTATTTCTTTGGCCCTTCCTAGTTGAGCGTTGGAGTTAAGTCTTGGATATGGAGGACGTCTATGAGATGTGCTTCATTTTTTAGAAACTGTTTTACAATGTTCTCTCTCTAGGCACATGTTTACTCCACAGTAACTACACAGCCTGTGATTGAGGAAGAGGAATCAAGCAGAGCCTCCGAGGCCACTTACATGACGATGGTGAGAAAGCAGGCTTTAGGTCATTACTGAGTCATGTGCCAAGTGGTTCTGGAAGGACCAGAGATTTGAGGAGGGTGAAGACATATGTTCACATAGTCAGGGGTTAGGTGGGGATGGGGATGAGGGTGAGGGACCAGAAGGTCTGGAGATTATTCTAATTTACAAAGGGATAACTGGATTGGACAATATAGTCAAACATGCTCTTGGAGCATGTTTAAGTAGTGAGAGACCGTAGGCCTGAGGGCCCACCCTAGGTCCACCCAAGTTAGGCAATATCCCTGCCAACAGTGTCCATTGAGAATGTGATAGTAGGCAAAACCACATTACAATGACAATGTCATCCCGGGGGTGGTCAGCCTTGGGGAGGGGAGAGTGCTTGGTTTTAATGGCATTATTGAGAAATGACTTTTTGGGCTATTTCTAGGGTGTGGCCGTCTTAGCAATTGGACATGTTGTGATGAGACCCTTAGAGTAGTATTTTATTGCAAGGAACTGATTTTCCTTTCAGATGAAGTTCTCAGCAGGGTTTATCAAGCCTTAATATTAGGGAGCAGCCTGGTGTATTGCATACTCCTGAATAACAGAAAGAAGTTTGATTCTGGTCTTTTTGTTGTTCACTTCCCCTGGGGAGTACTACACCTAGAGCAGTCACTTGGCATTTCAGGGAAGAGGAGTGAGGCTGGTGGTGAACAAGATGCTATTTATAGAATAATTATAGTGAATTAAGTCCGTTAAGGAGCAGTGTTTATTCCAGTATGGGTATGGCCTGCTTTTTGTTTCCTAGAGTGATGGGGCTTTGTGTTTTCTCCTCATGGCAGCAAATGAGACACAGGACTTCTGACTGAATTCAGCTAGCACAAGCTCTTCCTGAGTAATGCTGAAGTCAGCCAGGGTAACATTGGCTCCACCTTGGAGTGTCAGTTGGAGCCAATATTTTCCCCCACTTCCTGTTATCTGCCATTTTTATGAGCTGGGGCAGTAGCTGCCGGTTCTCAGCCTAAAGAAATCTACTAATGTAACTGCATTTTGATTGTAACTGTGCTCTACCAGCTTGAGTAGGAAGTCTGAGATGAATAACTGATGTTGGTGATAATGACTGTGATCTTTAAAGATGATTTCACTGATTTCCTGTTGAATGCTTTGTAAAATACAGAATACAGGAAATTCAATCATCGTTTTGTAAGAGATTGATTTCATAACCTTAGAGGATTGGTCTGGAATCTTTTTGAAAAGCTCACTGGCTTCACCATCGAGTTGATGGCCTTCTTTAATTATGTGGCTTTTACACGTGTCTAATTGGACAGCTAGGTGGCACAGGGTGCTGGTCTGGGCAAGAAGACTAAACTTCCTGAGTTCAAATCTGGCCTTAGACACTTACTAGCTATGTGACCTTGGGCAAGTCACTTCACCCTGTTTGCCTTAGTTTCCTTATCTGTAAAAAGGAGCTGGAGAAGGAAATTACAAACCATTCCAGTGTCTTTGCCAAGAAAACCCCAGATGGGGTCATGAAGAGCTGGACATGACTGAAAACAACTGAACAGCAACAATCTGATGTCAAGGTCTGTTATCTCTGCTCTTTCTCAGGTATATTTTGGGCTCCTGACAGATATATTTTGTGTCTTTTTTTTTCCTACTTCACAGCAACCAGTTTGGCCTTCTTGGAGAGCAGAGCAGAAGAAATCTTCTGCAATAATGCCAGAAACAGAACAAACTCTTGAAAGACCAAGGTTTGCCAAAAGACCCCCAACAAAGGAAGATCCTGGCTCTCAGTAGCCCTTGATTTTCCTGAGCCACAACTGCAGTTGATGTCCTAAAGCTCTCCTGCAGTCTTCTCTGTTTGCTGCTTGGGTTGAGGGGTTGAAATGAGGAGACCTTGATTTGTGACGGAAAGAGACTGGAGCGCTTGGGAGAGATAGTCCTCAGATTGGTAATGGGCCAGAGGTTTAATTCAACAACAGATGCAGTGGAGCAGACCGCTCTGAAGCATTTGCTGAGTGTAGAGCCCTCTGGGGAAGATGTAAACTGTGGTAAGACATGGCCCTTGCCTGCATGGAGCTTATGTTATGTCTCCCGAGCAAGCGTGTGATCCTTGTTGGATGGGTACATCAAACTGTCAAAACAGACATTGTTATTGTAGAGGAAGTTATTATGAAGAAGCTTAAAAACATCATAAATCAATTCAGAATGTTTTGTTTTATAATGACTAAAAATTATCTGTAAATAAATGTATTCAGAGGAAATCATCTTTCCCTTCACCCCTCCCTTTTCTGCCCTGCCCCCCGCCAATAGATAAGCCAATAGATACCTAGAATGCAATATCCTGATCACACTATAAAAGTAGCACATGCAGGTGCATATAACGCTATTGGTGCTATTGATTCTTTCTCTCTTTATGTGGTAGGAGAGTATGGGTTTCATTCCTAGCCTGTAGATAATACTTTCCAGAATTAATGAGTATCTGTCTTTCCTGAGATTGCATATTCATAGAATAATGGCATTAAGGATGTAGGAGCAGACGGATTCACATAAGTGTAAATTCCTTATGTTGTCATTGAAGGCTCTTTCCAGCATTTTCTCCTCCATGTACTCTGTTCTATCCAAACTGGATTAATCTCCATCCCCTGTATGTTTTCTATACTTTCTTGCCTCAGTGACTTTGTTCAAGCTGTGCTCTGACAACGCATCTAACATGTGTCTAAGATGTGTCTAACATGTACACCTCCCTTCCCATAACCTTCAGAACTCTTACCTAAAGCCCAACTCAAATGTGACCCCTTTGAGGAAGTCTTGTCTGATTTCCTGCAAATTAGTGATATAATTCCCTGCTTGGACCTCACTTTACTTACATCTGTCTCATGTACTTACTGTATAACATTCTGTATTATAGTTATTTGTGTGTGTGTCATATTCTGCTACTAGACTGTAAGCTCTAAGATGGAGGAAGCTTTTCTTTTCTAAACTTTGTATTTTTCTTTTTCTTTTTAGGCAGTTGGGGTTAAGTGATTTGCCCAGTGTCACGCAGCTAGTAAGTGTCAAGTGTCTGGTCTGAGACTAGATTTTAACTCAGGTCCTCCTGACTTCAGGACCGGTGCTCTATCCACTGCACCACCTAGCTGCCTCTAAACTTTGTATTTTTCCCAGTGCCTAACACAGTGTTCTGTAGACAGAAGGACTCTGCACCTCAGTCTCTCTCTGGTTTTAATTTCAGGTTGAAATACTTAATAAAGGCTTTTAAAATGGAATTGAGCTGAACCATTGATTTTTTTCTGGGGTCCATCTAAAGGAACACTTAAGAACAGAGCTGAGTGAGCTAGAGGTGCCACTAGACAAGACAGGATGTTTTACATTGAAAGTGTAGAAATAAACTTTCCTTCTAAAGCTCCAGAATTCAACTTTGGCATATTCCATCCCAGGTATGGGAGAAGGGATTGTTGATAAAGGTCTCTTTTAATACCTTAATACTCAGCTTTTTCATAACCACAGATTATGAAAGTCCAGGAAATGCTCAATGCCGATTTCCTATAGCCCTGCCTGAAATCATGAGAAAAAACTCTCCCTAGTCATGGATCTGCTCATTCCCTAATACTTTCCTACCAGAAGGATAATTCTTAAATTTAAGGGAATTGGAGAAACTTGAAAATATTTAAGTCTATTTCTAGCCCCTGCACTTTTTTCATTTGTCTCCCCCTCCCACTTTTTTTTATGAGTCCAGCTGCCAGATATCTTTTGTTGGTCCCGGGCAGCACTTAATAATGTCTGATTAGCAAAAACATTAAGCAAAGTAGGCAATTATCTTACATTGATACAGCTCATTATTTCTTATTTACTTTTGCTTCTATTGGTAGCCTATATCAGCAGGAAGCCTTTAAAAACACAATAATCCTGGAAAAGTATAAACCAGGGAACTCAGTTTAATCCAATGATTTGCATAAATGGGAATGGCAATGTTCATCTCCAAGTTGGTGAGAGAGGATGGGCAGGCTGGATGATTTTCAAGTTCCCCCAAATGTAACCACAAAAATGCACTTCAGAGCCAAGAATAAGTGATTTATCCATGTCCTCATTTTTATCCATTAGTGTGAATAAGAGGGAATTGACTGTGTAGACAGTTAGATTTGGAGATTTTTTTTAAACCCAGTAGGAATAGGTTGAAAACCTTGAGTATACCTACTTAAAGACTACATGAACCTTCCAGGCCAGGTTGATGTCTTTAGACACTTATCACTAGCCTGCTCTTTGTTTTCTGTTTTTGTTTTTTTGGAGACAGACTGAGTGCTTACATCAGCAGCTTAAAAAACAAAACAAAACAAAACACAACAACAACAGCCCAGTGAGCTGACTATATTGTGAGAAAAAAGGGAAAGAAGCCTGAATGCCACCCTAGCATTTATTGCAATTCTTCTTTTTTGGCAGTTGGGGTTAAGTGACTTGCCCAGGGTCACACAGCTAGTAAGTGTCAAGTGTTTGGTCTGAAGCCAGATTTGAACTCAGGTCCTCCTGACTCCAGGGCCAGTGCTCTATTCACTGTGCCACCTAGCTGCCCCGACATGCTAGTATTTATAAAATGTTAAAAGATGTAGGAGGCCTCTAGCACTTTGGGTAAAACTTCTGTGGAGCTGGATCCCATTTATCTTTCCTTGTATGCAGCATCTTCCTGGGAATGTCTAATTTTTATCTACCCTCTTAGGGCCAGCCTTATACTCACTCAGTTGTTTAGAGCTGATGAAACTACAGTGGTAAATTTGAGCTCTCTACTACTGATTTGGTAACTTTTTATGAAGCAAAGGTACTGAGAGGTACAGGGAATAAATGTGGTGTATGGAACAATGAGAGACAAAGTTGGATAGATGGAGTGGAGCCAGATTATAGAAAGCCTTGAATGCGAGGATATTAACATCCTACATATGCTTCCTACTCCAATATAAAGAGGAGAACTGTTAAAGGTTCTGAGAGCAGGGAGCAAGAGGGGGAGAGAGAGAGTGAGAGACAGAGAAAGAAACTAATGATGGGCCAGTTTCTACTTTTGCTCATTAATGGGATCAGTCAACAATGTGTAGTTAACTCAGTGAAACCCATTACCACCCTCAAACCATCATTAGATAATGGTTTAGTAACATCATTTTCATGAATGAAGGATGGAGTGTGTTTGTGTTCATGTTTGTGTATGTAGAGTTGGGGAAGAGGAAGAGTATCATCCAAGGAATATATTTTTAATTAAATTTTAATTTTTTTGTTTAATAAACTTTAATTTTCTCTTCTTCTCATCTGCTACCCTTTCCCCTTACTAAGAAACAAACAAACAAACAAACAGGTGGACTTCAGAAAAACCTGGAGAGAGTTGTATGGATTGAAGCTGAGTGAAGTGAGCAGAACCAGGAGAACACTGTACATAGTAACAGCCATGTTGTTCGATGACTAATGTTGATAGACTTAGCCCTTTCCGCAATGCAAGGATCTCCAAAAGTCTCATGATGGAAAATGCTCTCCACATCCAAAGAAAGAACGATGGAGTTTGAATGCAGATGAAAACATACTATTTGCTCTTTTTTTCTTCTTCTATTTTTGTTTTGTTTCTTCTTTCCTGTGGTTCCTTCTATTGGTTCTAATTCTTCCTTACAACATGACTAGTGTGAAAATATGTTTAATAGTAATGTATATGTATAGCCTATATCAGATTGTATGCCATCTTGGAAAGGGAGGTGGGGAGGGAGGGGGAGAAAAATTTAAAACTCAAAAGCTTATGGAAATGATTGTTGATAAATCAAAATAAATTAATAAAAAAAAGATAAAAGAAAAAATTCCTTGTAATAATAGTAAAAATTCCCATATTGGCCACGTCCAAAAATATGTGTCTCATCCTACATATTGAGTCCATCAGGATATGGACAGTATTCATCAGTCCTCTGGAATTATGATTGCTCGTTGCATTGATTAGAGTTCTTAAGCCTTTCAAAATTATTCATTTTTACAATGTCATTATGGTATAAATTGTTCTGATTCTGCTCTTTTTAGTCTGCATCAGTTTATACAAGTCTTCCTGGGTTTCTCTGAAACCACCCCCATTGTCATTTCTTACCACATAATTGTATTTCATTACATTGATATACCATATTTTGTTCAGCCATTCCCCAGTTGATGGTTATTTTCTTAGTTTTTAGTTCTTTGCCACTACAAAAAGAACTGCTATAAATATTTTTGTACCCATGTCCTTTTCCGCTTTCTTTAATCTCCAGAAAGGAGGCCTAGTAAGGATATCTCTGGATCAAAGGGTATGTATAATTTAATAACACTTTGGGTTTAGTTCCAAGTTGCTTTCCAGAATGGTTATCAAATTTACAGCTCTAACAGTGCATTAATGTACCTGTTTTCAGACATCCTTTCCAATATTTGTCATTTTCTTTTTTTGGAAACTTAACCAGTGTGATGGGTTTAGGGTAGAAGTTTGGAGTTGCTTTAATGTGCATTTATTCATTTATTAGTGATTTGGAGCATTTTTCCTGTGGTTATTGATAGCTTAGGTTTTAAGAGATTATTAATAACCAACTAATATTGGGGAGATCCAAGGCTTTTTCCCCTTTCTGTTTCCTCATTCAAAGCCCAGTCCTTGTGCCTATCACATTGATGATAGATAAAATTGCCCAAGCTCAACTATAGTCACTTCACTACTGTCTCTATTCTAAAGTATTATTTCTATAGTAAACATTCTTTTTTTTCTTTTATTATTATTTTCTTTTTAAATTTTTTTAAATTTTGAGTTCCAATTTCTCTCCCTACCTCCAACTCCTTCCCATTGAGAAGGCAAACTATATGATATGAATTATGCATGTTAAGACATGTAAAACATATTGCTGTATTAGCCATGTTGTAAAAAAAAACCAAGAAAAATAAAAATAAGAAAAGTGAAAAAAATTCTTCAATCTGAACTCAAAGTTCCTCAGCTCTATGTCTCTGGATGTGGATAGCATAGAAGCATTATTTCTTTAAGAAATGCTTGTGGTTAGTAGATTACCTAAATACATGCTTCTCACCCTACTCAACCAGAAGAACTTACAGTCTTCTGAGAATCTAATCTAGGGCCCATTGTGTTCTACTCTGGCAGGACTGGGCAGATCACTTTTGTCTAGATTGTTGGAGGTGGGGGTGGGCTAGGCATAGAGATAGTCTTTTTGTCCAAGAGTAACAGATCAGAGTCAAGTTTCCTCCCCCTCTCGTTAGAATAAGCCCACCTCTCATTATAATATTAATTCTCTCAATTGTAACCAATCAGAGTTGATTTCTGCCAGTTGGAAATACTCACTCTCCAAGAGTATTTAAATGTTGAGCAGCCTTCATGATTCCTCTTTGGCTTCTGAGAGTGCCACTGACCTCTTATGTTAATTATTTGCTAGCCATAATTAACAAAATAATTGTTAATCACCGAGAAATTATGTCTCTTGCACTTTTCATTCATCAAAGTTTCTTCCCTTGATAACTCTCTTCATATCTTTTTGACCATTTATCAATTGGGGAATGTTGTTTATTCTAACAGGTTTAAATCAATTCCATATATACTTTGGAAATGAGAGAAAATTGCTACAAAGATTACTTTTTCCCAGTTAACTGTTTCCTTCTAATCTAAGCAGTCTTGGATTTGCTTGTGCAAAAACTTCTAAATTCAATATAATCAAAATTGTGCATTTTATCTTCTGTGAACACCTATCTTTGGTTATGAACTATTCTTCTAGGGATAGACCTGAAAGATAACTTCTTCCTTGCTCCTGTAATTTGTTTATGATATGACCTTTTACATGGAGGTCATGTGTCTATTTTCCCCAGGACTATTTAAATAGATTAAATATTGGAAATTTCTCATAGAACTTCATATGGCTCCCTAAATGCTCTGTATAGTTGCTAATATAATCTTCCTATAAGATTGACCTCTTTCCTTCTTATCCTAGATGCATTAATAT